CAGCCACTCCATCAGCACCGACGACGAAAGGCGGAGTAGAAAAAACCAGCAGCCACGGATGGAAGACAGTATAAGAGGGTGCGGGGAGGGCAAAGGTAAGTGGGCTTGTGGGGGTCTGGTCGACTTCCCGAGGTCCACCTCAAATGAGACCTGCTTGTTCATCGTTGAAAATACGACCTGGAAGTGGCTTTTGGTACATCGGAGAAGGGGTTACAATTAGTGACACCATCGGCGCGCTTCCAACGCATAAATTCAGTAGATCGACTTGAACCTTTTCTCATCCCAACACGATTTTCGTTTAAGATTGGGACAGTCAAGTTCGACTCAACTATATCCCTGATATCTGGAGGCGCGAGGTGCTTCGCTTTTGCCGCTAGAGGTAGCAGCCTGGCTTCCATTCTACAGATCGCGCCGGAGGTACTTATTCTGTGGGATGGTTAAATATCAGTGACAATACTACCATGCCAGCTTGGGCATCTTGCATTATCGACTTCCCACTGATTCGATAAGCGGAACTGCCATGCATTGGCTTTGTTAACAGCGATCGCTCTTCTCCGAAAGGCGAGAGACCTTCCCGGCAATGAACCGTGCGGACCTGGACCGCCCAAACTGTCTTTGATAAGGTACGCGCCGCTCTTGTAATGCGCATTGTACAGACTTTGAGAAGCCTCACCTCCCACATCGCCAAATAAACAACAGTTTCTATACCACCGAGACCTTTTAGTTGCTCGACACCATGTCAACATGCCGGAGAGAATCGATGACTATGCGTCCAGCCCTAGACTTGTTATGCATTCACAGAACATTGGATGCCACCCACCCTTCCTTCCGCCCCGGGTCCGTTTCCACCGACCAGCCCTCAGAGCCACGGTCCGTTGACTAGATGGGTCGACGTCGGCACTCTTCATAATGGTCTATCGAACTTTCAAATGATAATTTCGGCGTCGTTGGATGGGAAGGGCTTAACATCTCGTGTCGTTAGCCGAAGCCGCTTTACTAGTGCAAACCGAATACACGAACTGCACCTGAGCTGGAACACGAGGCGATTATGAGATCAATCAAATGATGAGGCGACCGAGACTCTCTTTTGGTCTGGCTGCATATTTCATGGGCTAATAAAGTAGGCAGCGGATGCAGCGGTGCCACCTCCTAGTTGTAAAGTTGTATGCACCTCGCGTAGCTTCAAAATTTGGCGCTCAGGTCAGTCGGCTAAGGACAAACCGGCGCGTACGGATACATAAGGCTTAGATGTTTTTCTCGGATCCGTGGTGGCAGATAAGAGAGTGACACTGTGGCAACTTCTTTCTTCCAGACTCTTGACAAGACCTTTGGGGTTCATCCCAGTGATGCTGGACTTGTTGTCAGTCGGGTATGTGGCTGCAGGGCTGTGAATGTTCATCATACAGACTTTGGACGATTGGAGGAGACGGCGTGCGGGCACTGACAGCTGAGCAAACACCATGTTCTTCGTACCTTGTCGTGCCTTGATTAAATGAGTCCTCGACAATTTTCTCCACGGTCTTAACATAGAGACAGCAGACCAAGCCCGAAGGGGACACCGAGACCTCAAGAGCCAGGACGAATGGAATTGCGCAGAGGAACTAGGAAGGCTCGACTGTCAAGGACACCCTCGTAAGGGTTGGCCAACGAGATGGGTCAAAAGGCAGCGAGGAGGGAAGCAGGGCCATCAGCTAAGGTATGAATACAGTCAGCTCGCGAGGGTACCGTAGGTTCGTGGGTGCATCGATGCACCGTGTCAAGACGGGCCGAAGGGGGTCTCACACGGCGCTGCGAGAGATGAAAGGACTCGATAGACTGAGAAGGAAGGAATCATGCTAGAACGCGAAGGCGCTGCCACGCTGCAGTGCTGCACCTCCCATTCCAAGTCCAAGGTACCTGACCTGCCAAGAATATTGCACAGACCCAAGCAGTTAGCGCCGATAATTTGACGGGCAGCCGACCAAGTTGATAGCCAATGGTAGGGCGGAGGGAGGAAAATAGGCTACCCCACACACCTTTTGCTCATCCTCCCGTCTTTGGCCCGATCGGGCTGTCTTCCGTGCAGACTTCTAGAAGCTTTGCCGCGCATCTACCTGGCTGGCCAACTGTTACAATGTAGCTTCTAGCTTACAGCCATAGTCGTCGTCAAAATCATGTCCTCCTTCCTTGAGGTAGGTACTTAGGTAAGGTGATGACACTGGCAACTGCGGATGCAGTGCGGATGCAGACAAAATTCAACCTGGCACCTTGGGTATGAGGCAAGAACTGGCGCAGCTGGCCAGCCTCCAGGCCGGGGATGCTCCTTCCTGGCGTGGTGGGGGTGCCAGAAAACAGGAAACGTTCCGCCGTCGACCCGTCGTGTAATGTTCGTCCTGCCAAAGAGCACCTTCTATATTGCTTGCCTCAACGGCCCGAAGATATCAGTAACAAGAGTATCCGTACCAAGAGTACCTTCCTTGAGATATTCGTACATTAGGCAAGGTAAGGTATCTACCTATCTCATCCTCAACTTTATCTGATCCTGACACCGCCCGTGTGCTAGGAGTACTCTCCGTATCCGTACAGGGTAGTTATTTGTAACCTCAGGCCTGGGATCCAGGCCAGCGTGCCACCCTCCAAACCCGCCCGTACCTTGGATGTATGCGTGCCTCAGGTCTACAATGGTAGTGCACTTCGCTTCGTGAGCTGCACCGCCTTCCCAGGTAGGTAGGTAGTCGCCGGGCGGTAGCGTCACACCCCACGCCCTCCCCTCCCACATTATCCCGCCGCTCGTTTCTCTCTTGCGAAAATTCTTCTTCCTTTCCACCCACAACAAACTACCACTCCAACTCATCCAACCTCGCATCGCTTTGCCTCAACCTTTTTTTCAGCCCTCCATTTCCATCCGAATCGTCGTTTCCCAGGCCACTACTGATGCTTTGCCACTCGCACGTCAAGGCCGGCACCGGCAGACGTTGTAGTTCACCGCGGTTGCTGCGGTTGCCTACGTTAAGGCTTTGATCAAACCCTTGGCCTTGTCATGAGTCTCATCTCACAAGGTTTCAAGTTCGACGTGCTTCACAACGGCTCTATTCCGTCACACAACAGGACAGCCACCTCCCCACTGGACTGGCGAGGCTCACATCAGTCTTCGCGCCATAGTCTGTCCAGTCCTCCCTCCTGCTTTACCTCCGCATCCACCATGACTGCACGTTCACTTTCTCCACACCTTTTTCTGAGCAGCCATGATGCTTTTTCGTGATGAAACTGCCAGCACTACGCCCAGCGTAGATCGGCATCAACCGTCGCATATCAATCGGCGTTGGTGTTTTCGCTCCTGGCACAGAACAACTATTCAAAACCCGTTGCTGGGCACCTGGCTTTGAGCAGTCGTCTTGACTATCATGAGAAGTTGGGAATCAGCTGAGGTTACATCCGTATGTCCACGTCCCAGGTTGATGTTGAATCCAGCGCTGAGTGCTTTCGCATATCAGCCGGGGGCTGCGGCGGCTCTGAAGTTGGGTTCCTAACGACCCATGAGGACTAGAATCATTGTTCAGTCCCCAGCCGTACCAACCCACCTAAAAGGTCTTTAAGCACGTGACAGAGGTTGTATTCTTGCGGACATGGTCCCATATCACAGTGGAACCTACCTTACCTAATTATGATTGGTAGTGTGCTACTGTAGAGCGGCGAGACCCTTCTTAGCGACTCCCGTTGCTGCTACCCTTACTGTTAGCGGGTGTAGTCGCGGTGTGCGCAGGCACTCATTGATGGATGTCTCGCAACTCTAGTTGACATGGGGTGTAAACCGTTTGAAGCAGTCCAAACAGACACGAGCAACTATCCATATCAGTTACAGATACACTTTGGGGAGAACGGCAGATGACGAGAATTGACCGGCATGGGTTTTGTGCCACCGTCCTAACCATCGGAAACTGGAGAACGTGCCACGGTCAATGATGTTGGGCACCACCCCGAAAGGGGGAGGCTTCTTCACCTCGATTGCCTACTGAGCCGGCGTATCCCCAATGATTTACTCTCACGCTCCCGCACGGAAACCTCAGGTAACAGAAGATGGAAGCCCCAGTGTTGCAAGACATACAAAGAAGCAGAGTGAATAGCACGGAATCAGGAGCCGTCCGAGGTGCATCATTTTCCGGCATAATTCGGGGCGTTCTCACCCTCATCCTGTCTTTACCGTCTCACCGTAACGTGACGAGGCTGGAGGATAGGCAACCCAAGCTTGCATACATACATTGTACAGATACCTGTACGAGATATACGGACAGGACCGGGAAGGGTGATTGTCTCGCTTACTTCGCCTAGCAAAGGTTTCGAGTCTACGCGGGAGTTGATGGATCATGGATAAGCCAAGTTGCCAAGGTCAGACGTTGGAGTTGGAGCAGGGACGATCGAGACAGTGCGACAGTATCCTCTGCCCCGGGGCAGGCGAAGACAACTGAAGTCGTGTAATTATGTGTCTACCTTGAGGTAGCTTAGATATACATGTTGGGGAATATTCGTACTTTGAGACGTTTCTCTCATCATCCCAGGAACCAACCTTAGTTACCCCCTCACCACCCTGCTGCGTCTGCGTCCCTTGACCCGTACTTGCTTCCTTTGGTGTAAAACCCCTCGAATGAACCCGTTCCTTCATTCCTTCGCCTCTTCCTTCTTGCCCGTGGGGAAAGTTCCAGGTTGCCTTACCTACCAGCTCCTACGCCGGCTCCAGCTGCAGCTTCCGCCTCAGCGATAATGGCGTCGTCCAGTAGTGTCTCGCAGGTTGCGCCTGCCACCGGGCGTGCACCTGAAGTGGCCTCAGTCTCCCTGATCACTCGACGGGCCCCACCCCATACATCCAATCGGCCCCAATCAGATACCTTACCTTCAGATGCGCTGCATGGGACCCCCCTTTCCCCCTCCCTCAGGTCCCCTCCTGCTGCTGGACGGTAGACCAGGGCACCCTTCCACGCACCTGCATCCCAATTTATCCCGTTCACCACCACTTATGGCATCCCATGGTTGGTATTCCGCCCCCGGGTCATCGCCTTCGCCATCGTGATCCCCTCCGCCTTGCCCTGCCATCCCGTTCCATTTTCTCCTTGGGTCTGTCTGGCTGGGTCCCTGCCGAGTCCGCCTTTACGCTGAAGCAGCGGGCACGCCCACCCGCGCATTCTCTCTCACGGAAAGGGCCAGCGCGCCGCCAGTACCGGCACCAGCATATGTGGCCAGGATCAGCAGCGGGTAAGAAGAAGAACGACAAGAACAAGAGGCACAGGGAGAGGAAGAAAGGCATGAAGAAGAAGAAGAGGCACAAGAAGGCGAGGGACGGGAAGAAGAGGGAGAATATAGGAGATGAGGCAGAGGCTCAGGCTCCTGCTCCTGCTGCCGCCGCCGCCGCCGCCGCCAATGCAAGTGTCGCCCAAGGTAGCCGCGCCGCGCCTGGCCTTGCCCTGCATCATCTCAGTCTCACCCAATTCTTGAATGCCCCCAAACATTAAAATGGCTTCCCACATCCGCCTCCGCATCGCCGCTCGGCACCTGCCCCTTTACCTTGCCACTTGCCCCATGCCCTTTCTTTTCTGCAATCCCTCAAGAGATTCATCGCGTCTCCCAATCTCGAGCCGGTCAGGCGACGCTTTGCTCTCCTCCTTGATTGTCAAGACAGGACACCCGGCTTGTGCTCCGCACACCACTGACAACGGGCAATCATTGCATAGTCTCCAGCAACTACCTTAGCTGCCAGGCCGCTCGAATTGAGCATTTGTGGCGCCTTTCTTCCAGCCAGCGCAAAGGCAACCTGGAACAACCAAGATAATCACTAAGACAACAGGAGAAATCGCTACCTACGTCCTACGGTCCAAGGTACAACACCTACCTACATTTCGATCGAGTCATCGCCTACTTTCCCACCAATCACAGCCAGCTCGCCAAGGTCCCGACACACTTTGGAAATCCCAGGTTCCAAGGTCTTTAGCTGTCTCGCGTTAGCTCCGAGGACCAGTCCGGTTCACTACCCTAAACCCGCCCTTGGCCGACCTCAGACTCCCGTCTTCTGAGCTCGTCCACTTCGGGCTTCACCACCGAAGGGCCGCACCACCAACCAACCGCCGTCGTCTCCAAGGCCAAGATTACAGTACCTGCCGTCAGTTAAGACGTACAGACTTCGACGCCGTTCCGCTGCAGACCTGTCAGCGTGCCAGCAAAAGGGAACCCCGAACCCCCACCCTGCTGCACTGCTTCCAACCCCTCTTGATCTTCACACACCCTCCACGACTGGTCGGCAGGCTTTCCCTCCGGGTCTCCGAGTCACAGTCTCGATTGCATCTCCCTGCAACCCCAAACCGGACACTACGAATACACAGTAGGCGAGAGAAGAGCTGGGAAGGCGCCAACGCCGGCAATCGCTGCGCTGCACGGTCTTCGTCGACAATCACAGTCCACTGTCTGCCACACACCGACCACATCCTGGCTTGTCGCACATGCTCAGCCCTTACACCCCAGGTACGAGCACCTTACGACCCTCACTGGCGACATTTTGACTAAAGACGCGCAGCGACCTACTTGTCAGGCTGCCCTCCAACACTGCCAGCTTGTCTACCGCCGGTCCCCCTTAGCAGTGCTACCCTACTGCCGGCTCTTTTTTACCGTCTGTGAAAGCCCCTCGGCCGCGTTGTCCTTGGTTTTTCGTCACCGACAGCCGAGAACAGAACCTCTGCTCTAGATGTTCTGCCTGTTGAGAATCCCAAGTTGATCGAGCAACTCGGGTAAGCCAGACCAGACACAACATCGGACGGGCGATCAAAACTCTCCACAAAACACCCACCACTTGACTAGAGGTACCCACTTGTTCCGGACGTTGACATCGGTCAATTGGTCCAAAGTACCTCCGTACCTCGAAGCTTGACCGACCCTGCCCTCGTCCGTCTTCCTCATCTCTTTTTTGATTTTTATGAAAATCTTTTAGCAACTATACCCCACGGATATGTCCGATTCATAGACATCCATACTTTGTTGTGCTTGGCCGTCGCTCTCATTCCAGTATCTCCCCTCTTCTCAGCAAGAAAAGAAGAGGGAAAAGGTTCCGTCACCCTCCTGTACAACCCTTGGCCAAGTTCCCACCAGCACCAGCCGTACGGACGGACACGCAGAACCCTCCGGCTTCCGCTACCGGCTGGCCCAACTTTTGGCCATCGCACCCACGGCATCCAACCAGGGGCACTAACACGGCCCCCCCCCTCCCCCCAAAGCCCACGCCAAACATTCTGTAACGAGACCGAAGAGCTCCCGCTCCACGCTCCAGGGCAAGAAAATCCCACTTTCCAGGCCGACCCGACCTACCACGCCCTCGTCCTCGACTCGACCGTTTCTTTGGACGCCTGCCGACCGCCGATTGTCTTTGATCTCCCTCCTGCCCAAACTCCTTGTGGCGGGGAACTTAGAATCGCTTTTTTCCTCCCAACCTTTCCTTTCGCATTTGCTGGTCGTTTTGCCTCGCCAGACATGATTATCGACGGGGAGAAGTACGCCTGCGAGGCCTGCGTTCGGGGTCACCGTGTTAGCAACTGCCAACACTCTGGTAAGTCTTGGGCATTTGCACTCTCCGTCATTTTCAATTGCATCCGTGCAGTCGAGTTAGCCATGCAATAAGGTACCCCCCAAGCTACTTGACCTCGGGTTCCCTTCTCCAATTACGCCACTGAGCATTGAGTCCTGGCAAACTCGTGCGGCTAACCGTGTCTCTTGCTGCAGATCGTCCCCTTCAACATATCAACAAGAAGGGCCGCCCCGTCTCCCAATGTCAACATTGTCGCTCGATGCGCAAGTCGCGCTCTGCTCACATCAAGTGCGACTGTGGCGAGAAGACGAGCAAATGCGCTCACCTGCAACCTCTAGTGGATGGCCATCGAGGTGAGTCTGCTTTTGCTCTTGACGACACAGCAGCCGGCCTTTATGATGAGAACATCAACACTCTAACACTCATGTCCCTCATGTACAGAGACTTGCTGTTGCAACCATGGTGGTCGCTGCACTTGTAGCCACAAGAAAGAACCCGCACTCGACACCGTCCCCGAATCCGACTCCGACAAGGAAGACATTGCTCCTCGACCGAAGCCGTCCATCCGCAGGCGGCGGGCGAACACGGTTCACTCTGATGGCATGTTGACCTTTGACGAGCACGGTCATCACAAACCAGCCCACAAGCACAACAAGGCTTCTCAGAAGTGCGGGCCCTATCAACTCAACCGTGTCAACTCGTTGCACAGCACCAGCAGCTTGGGCAGCCATTCTCCGGAGCGCCACAGTGACAACCCTCTCAAGGATCCCGTATCAGGCTGTGTCGCGCCTCTGCAACAGAGACTAGTCAAGTCTGAAGCTGCGTCTCCACTCATGAGAGGCTCATCCAGTTTCCAGCAACTCAACAACCAACTTCCGCCCCTTGATCTTTCCGGGATCGAGTACCCGACATACGTACCCAACGGCTCTTTTGACCTTTTTGGTGGATCGGGAATGTCGTCGGATCACGATGCGCCGATCTTTAGTGCTGGGTTAAGCGCTGCGTCTGTGGATTGGAGCCACATCGATCTCACTGACAGGGCGGACAAGTTTGCTCCCTCGAGTTACAGTCAGGCTGGTGCTCAGAGTTTTAACGGCATGTTCGACTTTGCTGCCAGCTCCGAGCCAGCTCCCACTCTCGCCGCGACGACTTCGACATCCGGGGAGGTCTCCGAGGTAGAGGACAACTTCATCGCTGGTGACAGTGACTACGACGGCTTCGGGACTGGAAGCAACAGCTTCATTCACCCAGCAAGTTTCCTTGCTACCGGGGCAGACCTCAGCACGATTGACTACGACAGCTTTGCCAAATCATCAAACAACAAATATATGGCGGCACCCTCTTCGTTTGATGACGGCGGCCCGATCGCCGGCGGTTCTCTTACTTTTGACGATGACCCGGCGTTCTGGGGTCAGCAGTTCAACGATGGCATAACCACGTATCAAGAGTCGCCCGATGGTCTGCCTCAGTTTCAGCCGGAATCCTGGACACTGCCATAGGCGTTTTGATATGATGACAGTTTCAACGCTTGCACGCCCATGATATCCAGACCATCGATTTTAGACGGCAAGCACAGGCGCAAGGAATGCGAGCATAGGCGGGACGAAATTTGTGGTGGACGACTGGATAGATGCCCACTACGATATCCATGCCTGGAGTTGGCGTAGACTTCTTCTTTTATCATTTTATGACTCTATTCGGACAGCGTTAGAGCTTTTTTTCTTTTTTTTTAACATGTTTTGATGTTCGGCTTGACTACGGGGCTGAAAAAGAAAAAAGACGGGGCGGGCGGCTCAAAAGAGAGTGACAGCATCTCATTATCACTACCATCATCAATTGGATATGGCGTCAGGCATCTGGGTAGCATCTGGGTGAGGCTGTACGGGATTGACTGGTTAGAGATGACAACGAATTATGTACCTAGGCCTTGGAAACTGGATATCAGTGTGCAATTGGCCCACCTTCACGACATGTTATTACTTCTCACTGCACATGGACAAGCTGTATATAGAAAGCCAAGCAGTGCAATTCCCTTGTCGAGTCGTAGGGCAATCAAGAGAGGATCGGATGAAAGGCGAACGTGGAGACGCGCGTACCATTATCATCACCTCGATGACTATGAGGTGTTGCTGCGCATGTGTGGAAGCCAAGGCTGTCTGTGTCTCATCACTCCTTCCCCTTCAATAACTGGGTCTCTAAGACCACCAGGAACAGGCCAACAGCTGCGGGATGAGAGGCACGATGCACCAGCTTAGCTTATGGTAACACGCTGCTGATCGAGATTCGTAAGTACCTTATAAGAGACAAAGGATTTTGACTCGACATTGGCAAGTTAGTGATCCCTACGTGATTTAGCTATGAGCTTGGCTTTATCGATGCTTCTTTCCGCTTGTTTTGACAGTGTAATAAGTATTTTGCAGCCCCATCACTAATCATCAATGCAAGTCAACAACACTGTTAATGCCCGTCAAGCGGTCAAAACGATGCACGAACCGGAGACCGCATGTGTATGACGAATAATGAGATGAGAGAGGGGCACAGGCCAAACGACCTAATAAAACCAAAGCTACGGGTACGTAGCTTCGATGATGGGGCCCACATCAATCAGATAAACCTGGAAAGGGCCTTGCAATAGCGATTGAGTTATGCGGCCTCGGAGGGCTGTTGTTGTTGTTGTTGTTGTCGTCGTCGTCGTCGTCGTCGTTGTTGTTGGACGATGGCTTGCATTTGTTCAGTGCTGTAAAGAGCATCGTGCCGCTGCCTTCCTATCGTGTGCTGCTTCTGATGCCCTGCTGACAGTTGCTATCCAATTCCTACTCCGGTACCTACTTACCTGAGTGTTTTGAACCAAGTCAAGCGAGACAAAACAACCAAAACCAAGGCCGGCAGTAGGGACAGGCAGGCAGATAACTGCAACCTGCAGGCGGCTTCACGAACTACATGTACCTTAGGGCTTCAGGGCTCTTTCTAAGGACCCTCATTTCCTGTTCCTGCATATCATCCGGGCTGGCTTCGCCTCGCCATCGGCGTTTTCCTCCATGTGTCTGGGTGAGCCCCAGGGTATCTTTCCACTGGGCGAGAGGTACGGTCACGGTGGTCTCCGAATGTGACCCTATCGGAAATCGTACAGGTCCTGTCCAATCTCCATTCAGGGAAGGCCCCTCTTTGCTGCATGGCACTGTGAGTGCCAAGTGGTCAGTGTCCACCGTTTTCTCCTCTTCGGACCCTCCTCTTCTCGAGCCCCACCGACAATAGCATTGCAATGGAAGGAGGGATTGGCAACGGCGAGCGATGAACCCACCTAAGCTCCGATGAGACCGGGTGAACTGTGACTTCTAAGTTCTTACCCGGTTCGTCAGACCGCTGGCATCCGAGGTCCAGAGCAGAGGCGGAGGCGGAGCATGATCCACTAAATAACAGCTGTGAGGACTCTACAAATGTTTTACAGGAGCGGAGGCCGAGGAGGGGATGAAGGAAGAGTTTGTTGAGAGAAACCATAGGATGCTCGCCGAAACGGTATCTGGGCCGGCAATGGTGGCAGCGGTGGCTGGGGTAGTGGTGGTGCATTGGTGGCGTCGCTGGTGATGGTGGGAAGGCCTGCCGATCCTGAGTTTGTGAGTGTGTCATCACCTGCTGTCAACACTGGCGCGGCTCTCGGCGCCTTCAGACGAGGGTATGAGGGGGTTTGCACAAGGGCTGTACTGATACAAATCCCCCGTTGCAGGCTGCAGCAGATGATCTCCGGTGTTCGGGAGTCGGGACTACGACCAATCGACATGGACGAACACGAGCAGGAGCCGTATGCTAGGCGTGTGTGGTTTGTCTTGAGTCGCGGCTAACTAGTGAGAGTAAGTTGTGAGCGGCAAACTCGGCAGTGACAGGAAGGCCAGGGGCAGACTGGATACTTGCTTCCAGAGTTCAAGGCACTGCCCATGGCACGTTCTCAGGGAACCTGGCTTTCATGCACTCTGTACGAACACGCTGTCAATCAATTAACTCTGACGGCATCCATCACATGGTTCTTCCTGCATGGGTCAAGCACACCAGCCAGCAGCTAGTTGATTTTCCAATGTGCCCTTTAGGGGTCGAGGTTTGTTCAAGTGCGATTTGGGAGAGGGTTGTTGTCTAGCAACTTACCTTATTCTTTGGCCGGGTTCCTCACCGCCTTCTACCTCAAGCCAACGACTAAATTTCCAGAGGTGGAAATGCGAGATGGACTGGAGAAAAGCAACGGGAGCGAGAGTACTGAGTCGACTTGCACTGGTGACCTCCGGTGCATACACTTACCGTAAAATAGTGAGCAACCAACCAAGACGAGCATTAGCGAAACAGACGGCGACTGCAAGTTGAGGTATGGCTTGTAAATATAACTATTTGTACATTACACTTCATCTTAATACAAGCTGCTAAGCCGCCTGGGAGGTGTGGATAGCACCATTGCGGGTCCTCTAATGGACGAACGCCCACATGGCCGAACCACGTCACTATCTGCGTGCTTGCTGCCTTTATGCTCCTTTCCACATGACAACACTCATCCGCTGTCGCTGTCAATGTCTTCAATAATACCAGTAGTACATTCTGCCAGTTGCTTCTGCGTGCTCCATCTGGTCCGTGTTCTCAGCATTGCGCAGGTGCTCCTGAAAGTCATCATTCAGCTCTGGAACCTGATGCTCCAACTGTGGTAGTTGCTGTTGTTCAAGCGGATGTGGATGTTCCTGCGCCTGCATTTTTTCCTCCCCATGTTGTTGATGATACAGTACCTGCCGTGGCTCTGCGACATCCTCTGCCTCCCGTAGCTGCTGCAGCTGCTGCAGCTGTGCCTGCTGCCAATGCGTTATTTGCCGCACCAGCTGCAATTGCTCATACCGCTGTTCCTGCCGTTTTTCGCCCTGCGTAAGATGAGAAGGTTCCTAAGCTGCTTGTTGAGTTGCGCGGACAACATTGAGGTACCCAACGAGTAGTAGCGGTCGAGGGTCAAAGCCCATGTCTTCGTAGTTGGGGGCTGTGCGATAGGTGGTGGCCTCCTCAGTCTTTTCCACAGCCGCAGATGAAAGAGTAGCTAAATCGGCTAGATGCTGTAGACCCTGGCTTGCGGCCGCCTCCATGGCTGACGGGGCTGGAGCTGTGGCAGTATTGGTGGATGGACGGAGCTGGTCAGCAATCTTGTCCCGGACCAGGCCATCAAAGACGGAAGCTGGAAGTGGAGAATCTCGGAATTCACCCAGAAGCCTTGTAGCCTCCTCCTTTGTCTTGTCCACCTTTGCCAACTCAACCAGCGTCAGTACCGCAAGGACTGTGAAATGATGGTGCAAGGGCGTGATAAGCTGTGAGTGCCCGATCAGGAGGTTGATCAACTCTTGACTGGGCCACAAAATATCGGTCGATCTGGCTGACGGGTTGAGTAAGTAGGCCAGTAGGCGGCAGTGCCAATAGACCAGGTGAACAACAGGATAAGAGGTAGGCTCGATATGAGCGGGCAGATCCTCACGAAAGTCCTCCACCCACGCATCCATAAAAGAGCCCAGTATTCGATCCGCAAAGGTTGAGTTGAGAGGTTCTTGGAAGTTGGTGATCATGGATGATGCACGGCTGAGGAATTTTGAGGCACCTATAATGGTCAGCATCTTACAATCTCCCCCTTCACCTACAGAGGGGTATTTTCTTTCAAAACTTACGAATCAGCAGGTACGGCACTTCGCCGATAACTGCCTTGAGGCCTGGTGCCAGAACTACGCTTTCATCGCGGACCAACGAAGGTACCGCAGCACCGACGGCGTTCCATCGGTCGAGTAAGACCAAGGACCACCAGATCCTTACGCGAAGTTGGCTCTCAGTATCTGGGCCGACTTCAGCCTCGGAAACATCTGCCTTGGCCTGGTACAGCTTCAAGGCATTGGCGCTTGCTATCGCCCTGCCCAGCAGAGATTCCTTGGGGGCGCCAATGGAGCCCAGTGGTCGCATGTCGGCCTCAATAATCATGAGGAGAAGTGTCTGGAGGAAAACAAGGTTTGCCACAGGAGTCCGAGATGTAAAATCGCTAGCCTCCCATTCGATCAATAGCGTGTGGGCGAGACGTACGTCTCCAGGAGTTCCCGACTGAAATGAAGGGAAAGAGTGGATCGTTCCCGAGAGAGCCTCTACAAATGCCTCCCGCAGAAGGCCGGGGCACTGGGTCAAGTATTCCTGCATCAACACCCTGCTGCTAGGCAGAAACGGAAGGTAAGGTTGAATCATGGCGAGGTAGCTAATAATTCTGGATTAGCGTCGATTGTCCAAAAAGAAGAATGGTCACTAGAATTGGCCACATACCCATTGAAGACCTCATCGTCCACATCCCGCGTCTGATCAATATCAGGCATATCTGCCACTGGGCCGTCCATTGACGCAACGGGGGGCCGCGGCTGCATATCATTCTTGATAGGTAAAGGCATAGGCTGGGGTGCCAAGCCATTGGTGGCGAATGGGGACGATTGGTAGCGATCAGACGGTGTTGTTATGGGTTGAAGAGGACGAGGGTCGGTGCCCCAAGCGACCTGTCTCTGTGGTACCGGGGTAGACAGGTCGGTGCTGGAGATACTGGAGAATGGTCGCTTCCGGCTTGTGTCCTCACCAGGGCCTGACATGGAGTTAAGCATTGCTGCCGCAGAGGTCCAGTTTACCATTGACTCGGGTGGCAATGACTCACTTTGGATCTCCAACTTGCCCTCAATGCTGTTGATCCTGTCGGCAAGTTCTTTGATATATCTAAGGAAACATGTCAGTCTTTGAAGTCCTGTTCATACAAAGGCAAGCGCCATCGTCAACTTACCCCTTGCTTGGGCCGCGCTTCTGGGGAACGCGGCTGAACATGCAGCGGATGCCAGAGCGCTTGCAATTAGAGCATGGATTGTCTCCAGCATCTGACTGGGCATCACATTTGACCTTCTTTCTCCGGCACTCATCGCACGCGCGAGATACCTTGGACCGTTTTCTAGGTGGAGTGCTATCGCCAAGGGTATATGGTTGAGCAAGATGATGGTCTATGGGCATGGACAAAGGCAGGTGCTGCTGGAGAGAATCCGGCAGTATCTCCTCTGGTATGTAAGGGCGAGGGGCAGGCGGGAGGGGAGGGGGTTGATGATGGTGCTGATGCTGGTGCTGGTGCTGGTGCTGGTGCTGGTGCTGGTGCTGCTGAGCCTGCGTCTGCGTCTGCGTCTGTGTCTGTGTCTGTGTCGGTTGCTGTGGGGTTTGGGATTGCTCCGAATGAGGATGAGAATGGGGATTAGGCATGATGCTGCGAAGGCTTGGATCTTCGGCATTCATGTTGGGATCTGTGACGTGCAGCATGGGCTCTGCTGCAAGGTCCTGGCCGAGCTGGGCAGCCAGCTGCAACTCCTCGACACTGGCGGAGTGGGATGATGGCTGCTGTGGTGTGGGCGGCGGCTGTGGCTGGTCTTGCGGATCATCATCCCGTGTACCAGCGTGGTAGTAAGGGCCGGTGTCTTGAGCCTCGGCCGAAGGCGAAGGATAGCTTTGCATCCGATCGCTGTCTGGGAGCCGGTCCTCCGGTAAGGGGGATGGATAACTCGGGATGCGCTCCTCGTCCAGTCTCTCGTGTTCCAGTCTCTCGTCCATCCTTGTATCGTGGAGTCTCTCTTCTTGTATGCGATCATCGGCCATACCGTCTACCTGGATATCGTCTTCTTGCAATCTGTCCTCCTCTCGTAGTCCATCTTCATGCATCCTGCTGTCGTCTTCCATTCTGCCCTCTTGGAGATCCTCTACCTTCAGTCTCTCTTCCTCGATCGTCTCGCCTTCGTGCGTCGAAGTCATGGCGACGGATGCGTCGGGGCAGGCCGTGTGCAGTAGACCACTGTCAAAGGCGTTTCGTTACACTATTGTGCGAGACACAGCGGTGACAATTACTCTGAGGTTTCGGGTGAAGGATTGAGCATCAGCTGAGAGATGGCGTACGGGTGACAACTATGCCAAATTGAGGGCAGGACTTGTTGCGGTACGGCATGCGGGAGGTGAATGGACGAAGTCGCAGGGTCTTCGCGACGAAGAGCGCGTCAATGGGAATCCGGATTTCGAGTTCGTGCATGCACTAGAGCATGTCGCGATTGCGTTGCACGACCAAGCGGCTAGTCCTCGAGCTCGAGGCCGACTTCAATTGACTGCAAAAAAAACTATTTGTTTAGTACTCTCCTCTCTTTTTGTAAAAATTTCTCTCCTCTGCCCTGTTGTGACGCGATAATTCGGAACGGTAGCTTGCATTCTCAAAAGTTTTCCCACGCGTTCGCGCGACGAGCTCCAGCTAGGCGCGAGTCGCGGACCTCTGCCGTGATCCGAGCAGTTCTGTAGCCATCATCAAGCGCAATAGTGCGATTGTGATGGCACCTGCGACGGTTTTCATCCATCGTGCAGTGCCGCCGCAACAGCAGCAAATCGCTCCGGCAGCAAAGCGCGTGGGGGTTGATGGGGAATAATCATTCGGGCTGACTGACCTCTGAGCTCTCTCTTCAAAAGATAGTCCGACGCGGGCTGTCGTGATGGATCTGCTAAGCAGGCGATCTGGTGGACGGAATAGGAAGAACCAGGCTGCCGATGGAGGTTGGAAAGGCGTTGATTGATCCGGGTTGCGCTGGAGTTTTGACCTTGGGATTCTCAGTCAGCATTGAGCGGGCCTTCCCTGGTTCGTCAGGGTTTGTTCGGGACGGTCACCTCTGCGTCTCACATGGGGCACGCTTGACTGGAAGAATATTTTTCTGGCCAAGGTAAGTACCTAAGTAGGTACCTTATGTAAGGTAGGTGTAAATTAAGGTATCCTTGTACATAAGCACGATAAGATAACTGTATATTTTCGTCCGTGCGTCCCAAGGAAGCTTGGGCCACCTCATCGATATTGGTCGGTCTGTCGAGGCCCTTGTTAAGGAAATTATTGCACCCCAAATAAGGTAGCCATAGAACCAACCCTATCCATAAAGGTATGTCTAGTTATCTTCACGGACGGACTGTTTCTATTCACAGTGGAAGTGACCCCCTTGCTGTCTCTAGGGTTTCTGGTCTCCTGGTCATCCTATCCTACCAGGAATCCTCCACCACCCTCATCCTCCTCCATATCATATTCCTCCGTCACATCGCTCAACGCGTCCTCGACTTCGCTGTCCTCTTCTGCCTTAAGCCTACCCTTCTGTTGAATCCCAGGACTTACCCGGGCCTCAGTCGTTTGCTTAGCTGCCCCATTATCGTGAATCTCCTCGTCAGTATCGACCAGGAAACCACCTCCGTCAGCCTCCGCCTCAATGCGGGCAGCGCCCTTGCCCGTGTCTTCATTGCGGGTAGCAACTTTGTCCCTCTTCTCCAGACCAAAGCCATTCGTACTGTCTCTTGCTTCAGCTTTTATCATAAACGTCGCGCTGCTTAATGTCTGCGCAGCGTCGACGATCCTGGCGCTGTCTTCGATAAGGAAGCCGCCGCCCTCCGCTGTACTGTAGTCGTCCGACACCTTGTCAACACCAGACCGAACGGATTCGGTCAGCTTTCTTTCTTCCTCAGCCCTCTCCTCAGGTTCCACGCCTGCCCACACGCGCTCAGAGATCTGGAGTGCCACAAGGAACCGCCTCCAAGTGCGGATGGCGGTCGACGATCGCTTGCTTTGCTCTGCCTGTGCGTCTACGTCCTCAAACCCAGTCATGACCGCACATACGGCTTCCTCGTACTCCTTGGCTACTACCACGCCATTGAACACCGCTGTTCCGTGTTTTCCTTTGAATTGGAACCCTGATAGAGCTGGCGCGTAGTCGATCCCTAGCACATATGCAGCCCGGGCAGCTTTGTCAAACTCGTCGAGGATGTGGACGCCGCCCTCGGGTACCATGCTTTCTACATATACGTCGATATTGCCAAACTTATTCTTTGGAATTCGCCCATCAACGACCGGTGATGCGCGGTAAATTTCTGTCTGATCTTGTGTGAAAATCGGTATTCCTGCGGCATTGCGTGCGTCTCCTCCGTAGCCGTCGTCGACGTACTCGCCTGGTTTTGCATTGGATCTTCGCGGTAAGAACTTAACTGGGACCTCCATCGGCTTGACCTCGCGTCCCATGCGATACCACTTGTCCCTGTTTCTGGCAATTCGAACGTCCTTGCGTCGATAAACTTTTTCCAGCGGGGCCCTGCTACCTGCAGCTACCGTCCCGGCAGGCTGCGCGTCTGGTATAAAGACCTCGTTGCGCCTCAGATGCCTCTCCAACGCGAACACCGGATGATCTTTGAAGTCTGCCACATTTCGCGGCATTGGCTCGCGCGCTTCAGTCGCATTCAGCTCATTGTCTTCAATTTGGTCAAGATCGGTCAGCTGGTGGCGGCCGAACGGCTTCAATACTTTGCGCCACCACCTGTCGCCACGTTCAACAGCCGTTTCAATCCGTAGACGACGCGTCTTGGCCGTGTACGCCTTGGCATATCGTCGAGTGACGTCTCGAACCGTGCCGTCAGCATCGAAAGCAATGACGTATGTGAGAGAGTTCTCCTTGTCAGTTGCCGGGGGTTCCAGTTGTTTGGGTTTCCAAATGGAGTTTGTGACCAAAGGGTCTACAGGCTGCCACTTCTGGTGTCCCACGTCTAGCACTTCAACCCAGTAAACCGGAAAGCTCGACTCGCGGATCTTCTTGGGCGTCTCCCCCGGTCGCCGTGGGAGTGATGTAACTGATGTCGATGGCAACTGATATGCTGCGGCGTTCGGGTGGCCTGACCGATGGAGTGGCGAAGCCAAAACTGAGGCGGCAGACGAAGTCTCCTCGACAGCTGGCTTATTATACTGTGATAATTGAGTCCTTATTTCCTCCTCATTGGTAAGCTTCTTTGGAGACTTTGGGTCTCTGGGCTTTGGAAGAGTTGGACCGGCTGAACCGAAAGAGAGTGGCTGCAGCGAGCAGACCAACCGCGCGCGAATTCCTACCGCCCTCAGCAAAGCACAGTACAGCTGTGCGCCGGTATCCCGAGACCCTGATAGCGTCCTCGCTGCACCCCTGAAGTCCGAACGGTCCAGACACGAATCCATATCGCTAGGTGGCTCATACTAGGGCGGTGATATTAGCCATACTTCTTGAGCTGCGATGCCTTGGCAAAGACTTACGTTGGTTAGATGGTCAGGATCCTCTGCCCACAGGGGCCGACGCAGGCCTCGTTCGGTGATTTGGAACTTGGACCTAAATACGGCTCCAGCTTGTTCGAGGCCGTTCTTGAGAGACTCGGTTTGTCCAAATGGGGGGAGACTGGAACTCGGTTTCAAGTAGCCAATCGTCTTCTTGGCGAGCAGAGGACGCAGGCTTTTCTGGACCTGTTCATCGTCACACCAACGATTCCTCAGGGCACAGTGTAGAAGGAGACACAGCAGGTGAGTCCTGTGTATTGATATGCGCCGCTCCTTTTCCTCCTTCATTACTGGCTTTCGTTTGGTGACTCCCTTCCTGGAGGCGGTCGTCATGCCGGCATGCTTTGATAGATTGAGGGTCAGTCTCTTAGGTTCTTCTCGAGTCTCCAAGTCAGGTTGCAGGGCTCCAAATTCGACGTCCTCAAAAATGATTCCATTCTCATTGCCCACCTCTTCTTCGACATCATCATCAAAATCATCATCATCACCGTCATCGGAGTCTCTGTGCAGGGTCTGGACAGTCGCCTGAGGCAGAACTACGTCTTCAAACTCAATGTCTGCGTCCTCATCATCGTCTCCAGATCCTTCCGGTTCTGTTGCGTTTGACTTGACAGCTGCGGCCGCTGCTTTTCCTTCCCCGGGTCGCTTGAGTCTTTTAGCTGGTGGCTCTGAGAATGCTGCAGAGCCGACATCCGCCGCAGCTTCCACCAACATCTCTTGATAGACATCCGGTAAGTCGGAATTTGCAGCCCTGGACCGGGTGGCCCTGACTCGTTTCCGACCGGCCATTATAGCAGTGGTTGCGGTGATGAGATTCTCCGGATTAGGTCAGGAAACTCATAGACGCTAAGTTAGGCGGAGGAAAGCGAACACGCCGTGAGATAAGGTAGTTGAGATGGACTATTACAGACTGGCCATAGTGACTTATGGTATGTTGCCCGTGTATTCTTGTCTACCTCACCTTAGGTACTTTACCTACAAGTAAGGCAAGGCAAGGTCCGTTGAGGCAGGAGAGGTAAAAGAGTCGTCAACCTCCTTCCGCTGACAAACCAGAAGAAAGCATGACGTCACGGCAGCAGGCAAGCACAGGCGGCGTAGTGTAAGCCACGTGACTCAAGACAGCTGATAATCCTGGGGAGTTCCCGGGGCCCAAACAAGTGCGGACCTACGGATAAACGATAGGTAAATAATTACCTCGAACACCTACTGCGTCCTAGCTACGAGCACCTTAAGGTAAAGTACCTTGGGTTAAGGTAAACGCAAGAGGAATTAGACACTCGATCGGCAATCAAATCTCTGATCAAGAGCATAATTTCTCTTCAAGTGTGGCATCTCTATTAGGACACTTCAAGGTTACATATGTACTGAACACCGCTGACATAAACGACCTATCCTTCCGTGCGACTAGGTTTCGCTGCGGTAGAAAATGGTGGTATCCAGAGGCAACCTTTCGCCCATCCACGTAGCTCTTTGAGTGTGATTGCGGAGCTCTGCGGCATAGTGGTCAACCCCTTCCTCGGTGGTGTTGGGATGGATTAGCACGGAAAGGGGGCCTCGATATATGGTCAACCACGGTATGAATGCACCAAACTGTGCTGGCGCGAAGAGGTTGACCTCAAACATGGCCACGGGGTGGGGGCCGACGGGCTGTTCCCAAAATCGGTAGATTCTCAGCTCTGGGACTGAGCCAGCGTCAGACCTGTCTCTCAAGTCGGATCGGTCGCAGAGACTCACATTCTCTCCGGATACGCTCCCAGAGGTCTCTAGCATGCTTCACTTGCTCCGGGTTGCTTTGGAAATGGTAGATGTGGACGTCACTGCGACGCGTTAGCTGTGGCGCTACAAAACGCACACGCGTGCCCTAGCCTTAGGTTTGGTACGTAGCTGCAAGACAAATAAGGTACGTTGCAATGTCGGGTCGCTTACAAGCCAGCTTGACTCCCAGTGTCCAGGGGAGCCGGGAACTCGTCATACGCCCTACTCAATCCCTCTCGTGGTGGGTTCCTGAAACTCTTGCCATCCTCGTTGAGCTCAGCTGGCAATTGAGGGGCATTCTCATACCCCTCGCGAGGGGAGACAAAGGTATAGAGCGGGGCGTTAGCCGCCATTGGTAATCCCCCTTACTAAGGCACTTCAAGTAACGTTGGATGGATTGTTGTCTGGATTTTAGGTTAAGGTTGAAGGATAATCCACGGGACTGGCCATAGTTATGCCGAAAAAGTCACTGGGTACTCAACAACTTATATAAACATACGATACGCCTCGCCCGGTTCGTATTTGACGTCCATGTCAGCGTTGCTCTATTTCACAGACGCCACCGTTGGTAAGCACGCGACGAGATCCACCCACTTCTAAGCAACCGCGCGCGCAGAGAATCGTGCGGACACGCCTCCATACGGCTTGGTCCTTTTTTCTCTGTACCCAGCTGTTGCAGCTTTGCAGTCGACGGCACCGGCATCGATTTGGATACCAAAACCTCAAAATTCCATGACTCAGGACAAAACTTGCGTTTCTGCCCGTCTGATTTCTCGGCGACCACAGATCATCTCTATCTGTCCTTTCATACTCCTGTGCAAAATTATGTCACACATTCACTTGACAGACGGCGTAGTAGCTTTCCAGCGCAGATGCCCCGAAGCCCGGCACATCGGTCCCCGCCTCGGCCACGTGCCGCCCTCCTTCCTTGCGTCGATAATTAAAAATGAATCTCATGTGGTGCTCGCTATGAGGTTAACGTACACCTCTAGTTTGTTCTCAACAAGCGCATTTGAACGGTAAACTCTCCTTGATATTACTTGTGTGCCTATCTTGTCCTTGGACACGACCAGCATTCTCAGTCAAGCGTAAGTTTACAGCACCGTCGGACACCTTGACTCTAGACTGAGGTAAGGTATTTCCCAAAGTTACCAAACCCATCGAAATCCTACAAATTTCGCTCGTGTCGTGGATGTTCACCAGATTAGCCATTCGCATTCCCTGTACTCCGTCATTCAAAGCAAACACCGTAGCATTTCCAATTTCTTCAACATGGCTGAAGGTAGTTGCTTGGGACCAACCCCATGCGTCCATTGCTCCCGTGAATTTCAGCTTCCCACCACCCGTCATCTTGATGACGCAGGACAGCAAGAAGATCACCTTTGGAAAATCCCAATTCTTCTGGAATGGCCGCCTGGTAAACGTATAACGCCCTTGCTGCAACCTTGTTAGTATCACCATCTTCCGATAGCACGTAAATTGCAGCTCCGAGAACTTACCAAAGTGCAAAATGGGCCTGCCATCTCGAGTATATTGCCTAGACGGGTCTGCCACACTCTTACTTCGCTGTCTCGACTCGCCCTGTCCCGGTGGTCCGCCCCCTTCGTAAAGACCCATGGCCCGGTTGCTCGAGCTCGTTCCGGGTCGAGTTCCACCCCGACCACGTACTGACCCATAGTTCTCGTCACCCACAGGCGCGAGTTGGACAGCCATGTCGTTGGCGACATGGCTACTGCCTGGTCTCATCTTCTCCAAGTAAGGTGCTGGAGATGCCACTCTCGACATTGTGCTTGGTGACTTCTGTTGGTAATAAGGCTGTTCCGACCCCCTTCTTGGTGGATTGCTCATCTGCGATGCACCTCTACCCAGAGAACCTTGTGGATTAGGCGATGCTGATCGATATCTACCCCGAGTATCCTCGCCTGATCCAAGTTTCGGAGAAACATTGCGCGGAGCGCTTCTATAGCCGCTTCGCATGTCCTCTATCGGTGCCATTCTCGGGGAAGCGCTTCGGAGAGGGGCGGGAGACGCTGCTCGAGGGACGTCGCTACCACGTGTCATCGGCCGTGAGCTGGGTGCCCCACCGTAGCTTGACCCTGGACGGTTGGTCGGGCTGAACATACTACGGGTCTGGTCGGTGAATTTGGCTGACGTCTCCTTCATTGCCTTTGCTGTCACTGCCTGGGGCGGGACTCCGAGTCTCTGGACGACTTGCTGATCATACGGAGGCGGCGTGCCTCGAAGCCCCCCTGCCGCTGCGCTATTGCCTACAACCGTTGGAACTGACCTGGAGAATGGCTGTGAGCCGGGCGTCGGGGTAGCAATGCCATGGTAGCGGTCTGCCGAGACCCGTACGCTGGACTGTTTCCCCACGCCGACACCCTTGAGCTCGGCGAGGGCCAAAGCAATCGGGTCCGTCTCGGGCTGAGCGGCCAGAACACTTGATCCCTTCCTCTTCTCCAGGTCTGGAGTTGTGACCGAGAAAACGTTTTGCCCAATGTTCAATGCAAGACTAGCATTCGCATCGATTGGCTCCGGACTCAACGTTGATCTGTCTCCAAGCAAATCTCCTTTCTCCTGCCTCTGCAGCTGTGGCTTTCTGGACGGACTTGTTTGAGATGTTACAGGGTGCCAGGTGTTCCTGTTCGTCGGCGGGCCTGATGATTCCTTTGTGCTCTTGCGACGGAAGGGGCTGTGATTCTGGAAGATGCCGCTTCGCTTCTTGAGGACCTGCTTATCCGAGACCGATGCCATGCTGACCGGCTCCTGCTTGATTGGCGATACTTTACCGCTCGTTGGTTCTTGGCTTGAAAGCGAGGTCGGGTTCGAGTAATCGCTGAGAGAATCACGGCTCGATGGCCTGGCTGAGGGCGGGTGCGAGCTACGTTCCGAGGGTGGGCCGGTACGGCAAAGCATTGTCATACCATCGACAGGGTACGGATCGTGAGGGACTGATGCAAATGACCCGCGCTGACCCATGTCAAGAGAAGGTCGGCTTGGCTGCTGCTGTTGTTGAATTGGGGAAGGGGCAACTGAAGCAGCCTGCCGTAACTTTTCCGAAGGCCTCTGAGTTGTAAATGGTGCTTCTCGAGCGTTGGAGGGCAAGATTTCTCGTCGTCCCGCATCTTGAAGGTAGCTTCTTGAGGATGGGCTTGCGTCCTTGTGGCCCAGGTCCGATGTAAATCCTCTTGGAGAGGAGCTGGGATCCTTTGGTATCATCTCATGTACAACATGTCTAGACGTAGAAGGGCTTCCGTCTTGACGCCTCGCATCGGGAACAATGGCGCTTCTAGGAGGAGCCGATGGTGGATCTTTGTGTCCTAGATCCTGAGCAAGACTGGAATTTGGATCATGATGCGATTCATATGTCGAAGGTTGGGGTGAGGACGACCTGAATGCCGGGTTAATACTCCTTGGAAATTGGGCGACGGAGTAGTTATCATCGTCAGAGGTTTCCGATTGCGTGTCGTTGACATCTCCTCGACAGAAGTTGATGTACTTTGGCGGGTCTGGGATCTCTTGGCCCGTCCCCTGTTCTTTGATGAAGCCGATGATGTCTGTTTCAACATCCATCGTCTCCAGCGATAAGCGGATCTTTTCGCAAGAAGCATCGTCGCTGACGCAGACCGTAGAAGAAATGTTGGCGAACGTCCACAGGCTACTCTTGGTGAAGTCGAGGCGCTCCTCCTCCAGATCTTGGAACTTGTCCGCGGCTGCCTTCCACTCTCGGTTCCACCTCGACGTCGTGTCCTCGAGGGCCTTCACTGCGATCTCATACTCAGTATTAGACGTTGCAACGCTAATCTGCGTCTTCTCTAGCTTTGCTTTATTCTTTCGCTCCTCTTGGCCCATAACCATGTGGCCCTGGGCAAGGTAGCCCTTGATCTTGAGGCACTCTTGCTCAAATCGGTCTCGCGTCTGTTGCTTTCGTCAGCAGATTGCTCACCAGAACAAATTCCGAAAACCCCTAGAGCAATACAAATTTGGATATGAACGCAAGACTGACCTTGTTGACGTGCTGTGTCTGTTGTATTTTCGTCTTAAGGATCTTCTCAATCCCGTTTTGCACAATCTTCCTCCTCTCCTTCATACCACCCGCGAAAGCGGCAAGGGGCTCTTCCAACTCTGTCTTCATTTGCGCCGCGATACTCTGGTGTTGTTTTGCCATCGATTCAACCTCGCCTCGAACAGTGTCGAGTGAGATCTTGAGACTTCCAATCTCATGGGATCCCAATGATTTTCGACATAACGAGAGAAGCTTTCGGGAATATTCGTCTTCAATAGAGGCACGAGCTGTGCTAGATATTAGTTTTGTGCCACCACGGATAAGGCCATATGGCTTACCGTTGTAGAAACCTTTCAACTCATCGCACGTCTGCTTCGCAGCAAGCATGCGATCTAGCAAAGGCCCTACACCAGCATCTTCCTTTCCCCAGAAGTTGTTTGCGACTATGTGTCGGCGTGTTAGCTCCTGCTTTGATGCAGACACTTAGATCTCCAACTTACACGACAAAGCCACACTTGGCCCATCCGCCGTGGACGTAAGCATCCTACCTACGAGTACAGTGATGTCGTTCAATATGGAAAAGATCAGGGATAGGTAAGGCGGCTGGCTGATGCGAATGTTTCGGGCCAAATGACTGTAGGATATGTTTGGAGGTTCGCAACGAGCCCTTTCATGGAAGGTTTGCACGTAGCGGCAAGGTCTACCTTCTCAGCTATTTGACGTTGAGAAGCCGAAGTTGATTGAAAGTCGCGTTAGCATCGATAGCTGTGATCGGACGATGGGTCGCTCGATAGATGGATGGACGGATGGACAGGTCGGACAAGGTAATATTGTTTGCTTTCGTTGCCGGGTAACCAGCTGATTACACAAGACGAGGTGCCCGGTCCCAGGCCCAAAGCAGGAAAGCCAGGAAATCAAAGTGACGCAAGGGTGCAAGAGATACCTAGGTGAGGTAGGCGGCCATTTTACCTGTCTTATCTAAGACTAGGTACCTTAAGGTAGGTTCTGATGGGCTGCCAGGTACGTATCGGAAGGTGAGAGGCGCGGTCCGGGACAAGCTTGGTCTGGACCTCTGGGAATACATATCTAGATAAGCACAAAGTATAATACACTGAATTAGTAGGAGTACCTTGAGGTTTATGGCCAGTAAGAGCCGTGGAAGTAGGCGTACCTTCGGGTACACGACTTAGAAAAGGTACCTATTTATCTTACCTAGGCACTGACCCTCCCCGCGCCTCACGGAGAGTCACGTGGTTTCCAGGGTAGCTCACGTAGTACCTCACCTAACAGTGTGTGCTAAGGCCACCAAGCCGGCAGTACCTTAAGTAATAAGTGAGCGCCAAAAAGGCCAGCTTACCGACATAGAGCCAAGGTAACACTTGTAGGTGTCGGGCCTCAATTCTGCCAGTCGGTGCCCGTGCTCTAGGTGCACGCAGCCCTCTCTGGGCACCTTCAGTTACTTACCACCTTATCATACCTTAAGGTACTTTACACCTGCCGCTTTTCCTTGAGATCGGGTACCTCGTGCTGCGTGTTTCTTCTTACGTTTACTACCTAGGTAAGGTACCTTTTCTCTGCCGCGTCGTCTAGGTATTCTCCGCCTTTGCTTTCTCTATCGGTCCAAGCCAATCCCCTACCTGCGACCTAAGAGCCTCCACGTCTTCACGTACCTTCCAACCCGGCCAGACTCTAATTTCTTCTTCCATTTGCGAAGCTGTCAAGCACCGCACTTTAGACGTTCCCGATCGATCAACGTCGCATCTTCCCACGAACTCTCCCTCTCCCTCTCTCTCTCTCTCTCTCTCTCTCTCTTTCCATCTCTCCCTTCCATCCTCCTCCTTAACCTTTGGCAATCACCAGCTACTTTCAGAAGCCGCTCATCGATCCCCACCCGAACGTCGGTGGGCATCTTGAAAGCGCTCTCGGTCGACCTGGCTCAAGTGCCAGGTCCCCTCCCCTCCTCTGCCCAATATTCCCATCGCATCAGCAACGATTCAGACTCGGACTCCGCATCCTCTCCTCCGCCCATTCTTGTTTCCCGGCGTACTCGCGTGTCAACGGCGTCATTGACGGCTCATCGCTTCTCGCCGACGGCCACTCACGGTCCTGGAAGTGCTCGACGTTCATGTCGGCGTAGTCGATCGCAATAGCTTTCTTTGGCGGCTCGATATCGGAAGCCTCAGCGAGGAAGTTGGTCTAGTCTGGTCTACCCATAGGACGGACTTCTCCTTCCAAACTTCATCCGCCTCGATACGCAATACTCTCCCATGGTCCCACAACCACGATCGGGATCATTCTGTCCATATCCTCCACAGACACTGCACACAGGAGCCTGGCACTCGCTCCATCCGTCGCAATCCGCTGTGTTAAGTGCAGGCGCAAGTCCCAGTACAAGTAGTCCGACAGGGCCCAATCCCCTGGTCAAAATCGCTGTCGCACAAGTTTACTTGCTCCTCGGTGCCATCAAGGAGGATAAGGACCGCGCCAAGTGGGAGACACAAGCAGAACAACTACAAAAGGTAGCCTACCTACCCGCGTCTAACTCGCAACCAAACCATCATCATTCCAGTGTCCCACTTGCTCTATGCTAATGCAATATCCGTCTTCTTTAGCTCATCAATGAACACGGAATGGAGGTCTTCGCAAAGTATTTTACGCGCCTTGTCGCTGCCCATGCTGGGCATATTTTCCATGGACATACGCGGCCGGGGGCTAATGGCAATTTTCACCTTCTCGTGAGCGAGATGAAGAAGATTTCTCACGACGTCAACCAGGCCAACAAGATTGCCGAGTCTATCGAAACAGGTACAGAAGACCTGTTCCGCGACTTTGACATGTCGACATTCATGGAAGCGTTCAAATTGGATGCTCTCGAAAAAACGATACTGGCGTTAGCCTTCAAAACAGGATCGAGGGCTGACCTCAAGACCAAGGGTTGGTTGTCTTCATGTTCCGAGAGAGGATGTCTCTGATGCTAATAACTCTACCCAGCTGATGCCATCTTATCCACGAATTTCCCGACTTTCGTGAACATTCTTACCCGGCGCGAACTAGAAGAGCACGCAGATTTGACCGATTCGTTCATCGCCGTACTCGTCGACCGCTTCATTCAGTACCAACCACCAAACTTCAACGCTGCGTCCAAGTCTGAACTTGCCTACAAGGTTCAGGCAAGGTGGCATGGAGATCAGGCCCCACCGCCTTCCGAAGTGCTTGCAGCGCTTGACTTGGTCAGAGTCTTGGCCGACAAACCTCCAAATGCTCTAGCAACATATATCCAAAGAACGGGCGGTGACTTTACTCGAGACGAGGAGACCTGCGTCTCATACCTGCAAAGTCGGCCTCAGAACATTCAGCTGAGTGAGGAGCAAGTGTCCATCGCCCTGACTTACAGCACTATCAGCCAGACACCACGGTACGACCCGTCGATCCTTGCCGCAGCCCTTCTCAGAGTTCTCCCCTCGTCATTCAGGTGGCAAGACGTAGTTTCGTATTTCGATCAACGATCCGCCCGAATTTCCTCACGGCAGTTTCTACGCCTGTACAACGCGTTACTGCCGATTGCGGAAGAGGACCAGACATTCGACATTCAGAAATTATGGGGTGGAAATTGGGAACATCCAGAAACCCAACTGTCCTTCATTTGCGCTTTCGCCTCGCTCCAGCCCGATCAGCTCGACGCCAGCACTATTCCCGGATTGGTTCCAACGCTGGCCTTGGAAACTTATGCGCAATCTGCTCAGGAGGTTCAGCAGCGCGCGGCGTTTGCGGTCAAGCATGCTCTAGTGTCAGTTGAGGCATTGTCGGCCGTATTCCACGTTGCTCTTCATTCAGTACATGCGTCGCAGAGCGTCGAAGCCAAGCGCTTGTTCCAGGAAGTTGTGGTGCCTAACCTAGACATCTTCGTCGTTTCCGCATTCGGGGTTCCGAAACCTTGGCCAACAATGGCAGTCGATACTCTGAACTCACTGTTCGAAAGCTTCCTTTACAAGCGGTCAACGGAGTATGATTTCGTCCTCGACAGTTTGTGGAAGAAGGATAAGGAGTGGGTGATTCAGCGGCTGATCGAGGCACATGCCATAAAGCCAACCGATCTTCCCTTGATCTTTGAGCATGCCTTCAAGCACAAGTGGCTAGATGAGCTCGTGTATCTGTCAAATGGCTTCGGGCTCGACCTCGCAGCGCTTGCTCATGCTGAGGGATATCTTGACTTGGCCAACTGGGCGCGGCTCAACTCCGAGAGAAGCAACGAAATTGCTCGGTCTTTGCTGCAGTTTTTGCTCATCAAGGCGAACTTGGAATTGCAATTCCAGCGCCCTCCGGATGGTCAACCTGCCGTCAAATCAAGCACCACTCTTCAAGTGAGAACGGTGGCTGCTTTTTTGCAGATTCTGGAAGACTTTCTCCCCAAGACTCCCTTGCAGGATCTCATCATGGTGCAAAGATCTTGTATCACCGTCTACCCGAGGTTGATCAATTATGGCGAAGGCTTCGACGACATCATCGACGTCAACGGCAAAGACGGAAACGCGTTGCCTGCCGCAGCCAATAGTAAGATGGAAGAGCACTACAAGAAGATGTACGGCGATGAAATTCAAGTCCGCAACATTGTCGAGGTCCTGGATCGATACAAACATTCCCGCGATTCACTCGATCAAGACGTGTTCGCATGCATGATTCACGGCCTGTTCGACGAGTACGCCCATTATGTCGATTACCCCTTGGAAGCGCTCGCGACGACTGCAGTGCTTTTCGGCGGCATCATATCCCACAAGCTCATTTCAGATCTCCCTCTCAAGATTGGCCTTGGTATGATTCTAGAGGCTGTCAGGGATTATCTGCCGGAGGATTCCATGTACAAATTTGGACTGCAGGCCTTGATGCAACTGTTTTCTCGCTTCCGAGAGTGGCCCGGCTTCTGTCGACAACTATTGCAGATACCCGGCTTACAAGGCACTGAAGCCTGGAAGAAAGCTGAAGACGTCGTCAGAGATCACGAGGATGAACTTGTTCGATCGCGCAACGGTATTATGCCGTCGGTTCAAGCCAATAGTGAGTCTCTGACGAACGGCAACGCCACCGAAGGCAGACCTATGGATCGACAACCACCGCCCTTCTCGTCTATTAACGCATCTGAACGCTCGCCTGGAGTCGACTGCGAAGAGCCATCAAGCGATACTCAAGGCAAAATTCAGTTCGTTTTGAATAATCTTACCGAGACAACTCTTCAGACCATGTGTCAAGAGTTGCGAGACATCTTAGAGCACCGTTATCAGCAATGGTTCGCAAGCCACCTGGTCGAGGAACGAGCCAAGATGCAGCCTAACTATCACCAGGTTTATCTTGAACTGGTCAAGCTGTTCGAGGACAAGATTTTATGGGGAGAGGTTTTGAGAGAAACGTACGTCAGCGTTGCTCGTATGTTGAACTCTGAGACCACCATGCAGAACTCGACCGAGCGGTCACACCTCAAGAATCTTGGGGGCTGGCTTGGTCTCCTCACTCTTGCACGGGATAAGCCGATTAAGCACAGGAATATTGCTTTCAAACAGCTCTTGATCGAAGCACACGACACCAAGAGGCTCATCGTGGTCATCCCTTTCGTTTGCAAAGTCATTCTCCAGGGCGTCAACTCAACCGTGTTTCGACCTCCGAACCCATGGCTGATGGACATCATCCACTTACTCATCGAGTTATACCACCATGCTGAGCTCAAGCTCAATCTCAAGTTTGAGATTGAAGTGTTGTGCAAAGGCCTGAATCTTGACCACAAAAGCATTGAACCGTCTGGCGAGATTCTCAATCGTGCTGCTGTCGAAGACGCTCAAGAGCTGGTTTCTCAAGACACATTGGAAACGTTTGAAAATCTTTCCCTGAATGGAATTTCTTCCGGCGTCACCGCTGGTCTGTCGCCACAGGTTATTGCTGCATCAATCCCAGATCTTGGCCCGCTCATTCATATTCCGCCCACGAACGAGATGGTGGTAACGGCTACTCGACTGCACGAGATCGTTCGCACTGCTCTTACCCGGGCCTTGCAAGATATCATCCAGCCTGTGGTGGACCGATCGGTTACTATTGCTGCCATTTCCACCCAGCAAATGATCCACAAGGACTTTGCTACTGAGCCTGATGAAAATCGGGTCAGGACATCGGCCATCAGCATGGTCAAGGCAACGGCCGGAAGCTTGGCACTGGTGACCTCCAAGGAGCCATTGAGAGCCAACTTCACCAACTACATGCGAAACTCGTCTAACGACCTACCGCAAGGCTTACCAGAGGGCACTATCATCATGTGCGTAAACTCAAATCTTGATCTCGCATGCAACATCATCGAGAAGCAGGCAGAGGAGAGAGCTGTACCGGAGATTGAGGAGATGATCGAGCCCGAACTGGAAGCACGCCGTCGTCATCGTCTCCAGCGGCCCAACGAGCCATATGTGGATGCATCTCTCAGTCGTTGGGCATGGACCATTCCTAACCCGTTCAAGCTGTCACCGAGCATGGGCGGCCTGAACCCTGAACAGATGGCCATCTACGAAGACTTCGCCCGTCAGCCTCGAACCACCACCTCAAATGCCCCGTTACATGTGCCCTCGGCGTCAGATGCGACCCGATCGCTGGCCAATGAAGTTCTCCAAGACCAGTTCTCTGCTGTGACCAGCCTGAGTGCTGCTACAGATGCGCCAGCTGTCCAGCACCTCGGCTCTCAGATTCAGCAGTACACCCCCGTTCATAACGGAGCGATGCCTAGCACGAGACCGCAAGCCTTCCAAATGGATGGCCGCGCGCTGGTTGAGCGTGTTCAGAAGCTTCTCATGGAACTACAGCGCGTGGCGACCGAAGCACGTGAGGAACACTTTGCTGATCTCCCTCGGCCACATCCGGTCCTTGATGTTGTCGACGCATTGGTTCAGCACATGATCAAAACATCACAGACTTCAGACGAGTTTGCGGTGTTCGCTGCCGATCAGATCATCACGCTCATTTTTGGCCAGGTCGACGACAACCTAGCCTTGGAAAGCCTGGTTCATGTTCTAGAGACACTGCGGAAGATTTCTGGTCCCACGCTAAACAATCGCGTTACGGCTCACTTCCGCCAGCAGCCTGGAACCACGTTTCTCCAAATGCCTCTGCTTGCCGCGCTGCTGCGCACTGATCTTCTTGATTGGAGAAATATCGATTCGTCCATGTCCAAGGCCCTGCAGCAAAGGAAAGAAGGCTCGCTCGACTTTTTGGACCAAATGGTCGATCTGACCCTTCTCGGCAACCGGCCAATGGCATTGTATGGCGACTTTGTTCGGACACTCGAGGCAGCTTGGTCCTGGATACAGGACGAGCCAGACTCGGCCATCGGGCAGCGCTTGAAAGCGAAGCTTTCCGGTCAAACACTGCCGCAAACTGCGCAGCAGGAGAGTAATGGTGCACTGCAGCAGGACCAGATGGAGTATGTGTTTGACGAATGGATCCATCTTTGCAATAACCCTGACGGGTCGGAGAACTCTGCCATCTTGTTCGTGCAGCAAATGCAGATCAGAGGTGTCATTAAGAGCAAGGACGACCTTTTTGTGTTCCTCAGGGTCGCGACAGACATGTCGGTAGACAGATTTGAGCACTTCGTCCATTCGACGGGAACTTTGACGGACGCCTTCCTAGCCGTCGATGCACTCGCAAAGATGATCAACATCTTCATTAGACTTTACGGTGAGGCACAGCCTACACCGATGCCCAGCCGAGCGGTCTATTTGGATTCAGTCTTGGCCTTCATTACTCTCGTTCTCAACCACCACCATGTGAAGCGTGCCGACCACTTCAACCAGAGAGTGTTTCATCGTCTTTTGTCGGTTTTGCTTCACGAAATCAGTGCTACCGCGGAACAGCTTCCTGAGTCTGAGAGATCCGAGTTATTCCTCAAATTCGCTGCCAGGCTTGCAGACCTAGGACCGAAATATCTCCCTGGCTTCGTTTTCGGATGGTTTTCTCTCCTCCAGCATCGGGCGTTTTTGCCTACAGTCATGAAGGATCGTTCTGGGTGGGTTGCGTTCACTAAACTCTTGCAACTGCTCCTGGAGCACATCGGCGAGCAAGTCAAAGCCATTGAGCCCTCCAATGTGGCACGAGAGATCTATCGAGCAACCCTCAAGCTGCTTGTCATTCTGCAGCATGATTACCCCGATTACCTTGCGGCACACTCGCAGCAGCTCACAGCCAGTGTCCCTCCTCACTGCAAGCAACTTCTCAACGCCATATTGACAGCGAACCCAGCGGCCCATCCTCAAATGCCGGATCCTTCATTCCCTGGCTTGCAGGCTGATAGGGTAGATGGTGTACGAGAGTCCCCTGAGTCCCTGGACAATTCTGCGTCTATTCTTCGGGACTTGGGCTTGCTTGAGGTCCTCGACCACGCGCTACAGAACGGCCCGTCCGAAGATACATTAGCGCACATTACTCGAGCCATTGTCGAGAGCCAGCGGTCCGACACAGGCTTCGGGCACGTGCCTATTAACACTAATCTGCGGGTAGTTGAGGCCGTCACTCTTCATGTCGGCAATTATGCTGTTCAGCAGTCAACTCAGAAGGGCACAGATGTCTTCAACCCAGCATCATCAGACGTCGCTATCATGTCTATCTTGCTCCACGAGCTCCCCCCTGAGGCCCGCTACTACCTCATTACCAGCGTAGCAAACCAACTGCGATTCCCTAATGCCCACACCACCTATTTCAGTCGTGTCTTACTGGAGATCTTTGGTCAGGACATGAATGACCCTGAGGAGACGGAGATCAGGCAGCAAATTACAAGGGTGCTTTGGGAACGCCTGATCGGCTATTGGCCCCAGCCTTGGGGTCTCATGGTGACGGTTGTTGAGTTGCTCAAAAATGACAAGTACATGTTTTTCGACCTCCCATTCGTGAAGTCAAACCCGGAGGTAAGTCAAACAGCTTTGGTCGACTCCGTCATCATTGATTCATCCGGGACTAATGCAATGTTACTGAGTAGGTCATTGAACGCTTCCATGCCATTTTGCAACGCGCATGAAAATCTGTATGGAAAGATTCAGGCCCGATCTGACAGTAGCCATTATTCACAAGTTGAGACGGTAGTAACGTGCCCTCCTCGGATTGAGTGCAGCTCAAGACGGTTAGGAACATAGGCGGAATAGCGGTTTAGAAAAAGGAGACTTAGGTGGCGATTCCTTCCTCACGGCGTTTATGTGGAAATTACGGAAAAAACCTGTAGTATTTATGCTAATGTACGATAATGAGAACTCTGGTGGAATGTTGGACACTGCGGTTTTGAAGCGTCTCGCCTGTATTCCATGTCGTGTTCGTCAAAACGGCGTCAAGGCGGCATAATAGGGAGAACGCACGCGTATCTTTTAGCCGGAGCCAACGGAGGCTGTGCGTCACGAGACGAGATCGATAACATGTGTCTGCGTATGGTAGCGTTGGTGTCGAGGCATCAGATTAAGGTGACTAGAATAGGAAATGCATCACCGAGACTGATGCGAATAGTGGTGCCTTTCATCCTCGGCTTGCCCTTCACTATTCGTCTTTTCGACATGTCAATCCACTTCGAACCAGCCCCCCCCCCAAGGTGCTTTGCATGCGAGTAAGGGCAGACCCAGACAAATTTCGCAGCGACATTCGCCGTTACCCGAGTTCTATGGAAAATGCAAGAGACCTTAGCTTTGTCCTTCGCGAGCTGATCGTCAGGCATAGCACACAGGCTGGCCAAAAGTAGTCAAAATCCTTTGTCTCCTCGAGCACAGGATGCGGCATCGATTCGCTGCCCCTCCCCCGCCCCTTTTTTCTCCTTTTACAAGCCCTATGCACAATTGTATAAAAAGCAGGTTAAGCCTCCTGGCTTTTCGTATGGTCGTAGCTTGGTTGATTCTTGCCAAAGCGGCATACAAAACCACTGAGCAGGCCATACTTCGGTAACTATGACGCCCTTCGATTTGTCGCAGTCGCCTGTCATGGATATCATCATGGATCGCCTGTCCTCTCTACCATATGACCCAGACTCCCACATTCCCATCTAAGAAGAAGAGGTCCTTTTATATCCCTGTGTATCATTTATGCAACACAAGTACATAAGCATTAAAGCTCCTCCTCCTCCACATTCGGACCCAAAGTGGCTGGCGCGTTTCTCTGCGCCGGACTAGCGCCGTCCATAACATCGCCAAAGCCGGCGGTTAAATTGCTTGGCTGAGCTCGGCCTTGGTCGTCTCCGTCAGAAATACTCGGCCGGTGTTTCTTCATGGGACTTCCAACGGTCCATTCTATCGCAGCATCATTGCCGGCGCCTTGGGTTGCGCCCGCAGTAAGTTGGCCATTGCGTGCAGTGGTCACGCTGTTGGTCGATGAACCAGCAAGCGCGCCTGAGTGTGCAGTGTTGTTTGTGACACTTGAATTCTCAGATCGGTCGGGTTCGGCTGAGTGTGCTCTCTTGAGCTATGTTTGAGCAGTCAGTAACCAAGCTAACACAATCGGGCAGGGTAATACCACATACATGAATACGATTTACACCATCAGCAAGCTCGCCTTGAGATCTGACGTCCTCAGGAGCGAGCTTGTTATCGATGTCCTTCTCATCAATATCCTGCATCTTCCCAAGAAGTTCACTCTCGTCGTCTTCGTCGTCGCTGTCATCATTCAGAGCTCCTCCCACGTTGCCATTGCTCTTCTTGCGGGCTTTCCGTCGTCTGGTTGCCTCAGTATCCTGGTCTCTGAAGGCAGAAAATCCAACGGTGCCGGAAGTTCTCAGAGGACCGAGGCTGGAGAAGTCCAGCTGCCCAGACCGACGTTTGGCAGATCCCGGCGTTGCCTGGGCTGTCTTTGAGGAGGCGATGATTCCAATCTTTTGGAGCTGCCCTGCACGTTGTTAGCCTTTTGGAAAGCATCGATTTTTAAGACATTGACAGGCTTACTCTCTCCACGGTAGAAAAATGTGAAAGAAGCGTATGGCTTATCGGGACCGTCGATACCCGTCACGGTTTGGGTGCTGATGGTCTTCGGATCCAGTGTCTTGGGCTTAGCAAAGCTTGTAGTGTGTTCCACATCAGCATCGACGCCGCTTTTTCCATTCCCTTGCTTTCCAGACTCCGCATCGTCGTCGTCGTCGTGGGCGTCGAACTGAGGAGAGTACTCTCCTTTTTTTATTTCGCCAGAAGCGAGTACACGGAACATCAACACCTTGATCTGGCCAGTTGCCTCTGGGATCTCGTCATCATCAGACAAGGAATCAGAATCGTCCTCACCGAAAACGGCCTCAACGGGAGATCCATCTTCGGCGCCATAACGAAGAGTGTCTCGGGGGCCGTTGATACCTTCCTCAACTTGCATGGTTGTCGCTCCAGATGTAGCTTTTTGTCTTCTACGCCGCTTCTCGAATTTTTGACGGCGACGTTCCAGCTTCTCTGCGGCGTCGTGACCTTGTAGATCCAAGCCATTTAACCAGCGCTCCAGGCCGACTTCACGGAAGAGGAACTCGCGCTCGGCGAGACCTCCGCCTTCCGAGTCGGGTACCTGGACCCAGCGGCTGTTGACCCAGGTCTCTTCACCCGGACGCAAAAGCGTGGCGACTTCCTCCTTGGATCTTCCGTCAAAGTATATGTAGGCAGCTATCGTCTCATTTTCAGAATTGGTCATGGGGATATAGGGGTTGACGACTCCGGAGAACTTTGAAGGGCCATGAGCGGCGGTGGGGAGGCCGCCAACAAACTGGGGCTTCGGATAAGGGTTCGTTTCGGTAGATCTTGGAGTCGAGTATGGGATTGGCAAGCCGGGTGTCAAGAGGGTGATTGATATGGCGAACTTGGCAGGCTCGGGCTTGTTCGAATCGGGGTTGATGCTTGGTTGAGGCACGGGTATGTAGGTGCTAATCCGTGACAGACGTGATTGCTTTTGCATACCATGCTCGGGAAGAGGGGCACCGTTGGCGTGTATGCTAACAGCAATCCCTTTAAAGCAGGGCATGGTTGCGAAGCGGACTAGAGCGTCTCGGGGCTCTACAGTCCGAGCTAGGAAGAAAGAGAGTCGGCGAGGGGCACCGCGGTCGCGAGGGACAAGACGGCTGTCAAGAAGTGTTCCTTACAAGCGCGTTGGACAGACGGTTCGGGAGAGTTGGTAAGGTCAGCTGAAAGACGTAATTTTGGTGACTTGGTGATTTGATAGTTTCGTGACTGGTTTGCGGGATTCGCAGCGGCACACGGCGGACGAGGTACGAATAGCGGGGTATCTTCTTCCCTTTGTGATTGCCGAGAGGAACGCAGGCAACAGTTTCTTCGGGAGGTGGTTTGTTGGTTCGATGATGTCAAAGTTGCTCTGGTTGGTAGCGGTTGATGTGTAGCAAAATGAAGCAGCAGTTGATGCGACTATGAGGTCGAAGCTGAGGTAGAAATTGCTTTCTTCACCGTCTCTGAATGGACCAGGTGGGTGTGGATCTGACGATCGGGGGTAATGAGACCTTGGGCGGGGAGGCCTAGGTGCAAATGGTGCGCATGTTGCCCCGATGACAGGGGAAAGCAGATGCGTAGGGTCTAGTAGGGGCAGAGCACAAGGTCGACAGTAAAGAGATGATGAGGCTGAAAATTACCTGAGTATTGGTAGCTACGGCGTGGTGTGGTCGAGGTTAGGACAAGGCTCAGGAAGAAGGCGGCAGCGGCTGGCGGTGTGGGAGGGCAAGGAAGCGACAAGATAGTGCCCTGGAGGGGAAAGGTTCCTTGGGTGCCCGTGCTTGGGTGTTCCCGCCAGTGCAGCTACATACATCCACTGAGATGAATTGCACTGTGGGGGCAGGGCACGTCGAGTCAAGAGGTATTCTTAGGTGCCTTCCTTCAAGTCGCGACTTGCCTACTTAGATAAAACCCCCCCCTCCCACCCTTCCCCCGCGTTAGGTAAGCAGGGGTAAGGATTAATCATAGACGTGAGTCTGGTGCTAGGCGAAAGCTCCCGGACGAGTTGTGCCCGGGCGTCAAGCTGAGGCGGTCCAGTAGTCCGAGAAAGTCGAAACAAGCTGCTCAACGAACATTGAATTGAGACAATGTCATATTACTGCCAACAAAGCTAGTTACTGGTCAATAATAGCACTCCTGCGTCAACCGCCATCACGCCAGCCCCAAGTGTTACGGGGGCAGGTTTTCAAAAACCAGCTCCATCGCAGTAGCAATTGGCATTGTCCAAATCGAAGAAAGACTCACAGACTCAGTGTCGCCACCCCTCCAGCTCAGACTTCCCGCAGCCCATACTATCAAGTTTTATGTAACGACCTCCGCCGCACACTACTGAAACCTCCATCACTGTAGCTCGTTCCAATACCCGAGTCTCCTCTGAATCCCCTTCCGTCATCTTCTTCCTCGTCGTCGGCCTCGCCGCCGAGCGGGAGCAGGTCCTCCACGCGAGGGCCCGCATGTTGCTCAACCTTGACTTCAGGCTCGTATCGTAAGGGGGCCTGATTGCCGTAGGTAGGAAAGGTTCTGGGTGCATCCGACAGCTCATCAATACCACTCCCATCCTCTCGCTTGACTTGACCTTTTGACTTTGAGTACGACTGTTCCACGGCTCGTCCATCGTTCTTGCCAGAGCGCGGTGATGATCCTGAAAGTCCGGCCCATGCCAGCCAAGCCACGGCCATGAACAGGATCTCGGATGCCCAGAACAGCAGGACGGCGGCGGTCAAGGTTGTCACGCGGTAATTGTACATTAGCCAGCGTAATCCCCGGAGCTGGGCAGTCAGCGTTATCGAAGCATAGTACGTCTCAATCTCCTGGCCGCTCTGGATTTCAAGATACGCAGAGGCGGGTAGGGAAGAGCCCTTGGCCAACTCGACGCGCTCGGCCATAGGCACGGTAAGTATGCATGTTTCTGAGTCCACAAACAAAACGTGGTAGGCTAGAAAGAGTATTCGCGACGCTGTCGACACCAGTGGATCTTGATATGGCACCAAAGCGGGCCGCCGAGAAGACAATAGGACTCTCTTGCCGTCGAAATGGGCATATGGCTCGGGAGCGATATGAGGCTGTATTTTGTCATCCCCCGTCGACAACGCTCCGACGTCCAGCAAGTGGAGAGCAATCATGAAGTTGCCTCGCTGCGTGTTGGCGGGCGAACGGGGCATAGACAACGTGACGGATACATCGTACTCCTGCTGCGTCCTCAAAGCAGATGTCGGGATGGCTGCTGTTCCAAAAGGGTTCGGTCCTGATCTGGAGTTGATATTAGCCCGCAACGTCCCCATTGGATTCAATGTGGAGCAGTTAGCGACGCGAAACAAACTCACCCGTACTGGAGGTGGACTGGGGTCGTCACCACCTGTTCAGGTAGATAGTCGCGGAAAAACAGGACTGAGGCGATAGCAGCAAATGGCAGCAGGAATAGCGAAGCACCAACGAGGAGGCTCGCATTCACGAGTGTCCGCTGTGCAGTCTTGGACGTGGCGGCTCGAGATGCCTTACTTAATACCTCCTACCAAGGCCAGACTTAGAATCTTGACGGCTAGCGAATCACGATACTGGGCAGAGAGCGTACCATTGTATCTGAGAACAGGTGAGGCTGGCTGCCTTCGAGCTTGGTCTCAGTGGCTGAGTGAGGGATGCTCCAGCTTTAGGTTCAGAGCCAATTCGTAGGGAACTGATGTCGCTTGAGTTACTGGCGATGTCGTCGGAGGAGTACAAACGGTTGCTTCATTAGAACGCCTTGTTCGATAGAGACAAGTAATTAGCTGTACTTGAGAAGGGAGACTGAGTAGTCAACCGAGGCGACAACGGCAGCACAGGGTGCTCTTGAGTTGAAGAGGCACAGTGCAGACACCGATTTCAGGCTGGTCAGAGCTGCCTATCACGCTGAAGGATGATGCTGAGATGTAGAAGTGCAAACGGGTTCGAAGCTCGAGCTGCTTTGAGCAAAGGGAAGATGGGGAGGTGGCTCAAGCCCGGCCACTTCGTTTGTACCATTTCTCAGATGTGTGGCGCTCGGCTGGTCCTTCGCCCTCGCCCACTGGAATTTGCTGACATGAATGGCCTGTTGACTGGGAGGGAGGGGCGGTCCAGCTTGCGCTGGTCTTCCGCAGGTCAAATGAAGAGCGGATCTTTGACGAAAGGAATGTCTTCGAGAAAAGAAGTAAAATAATCGTTGACTAACTAACCTTGGCCTACACACAGACTCTGTAGAATGCAAGTCGACGCAGCACAGGGGACTGTTTTCCTGCCTTACCAGCCACGCCTTAGGTCCCCAGCCACGTCACCCGTTGCAGGCGGCGGAGCAACATCTTACTTTATACAGCAACATACCTCCAGCTAGCCGTACCTTATCACATGCTCGGCTTCATCACCCTACCTTACGACAGTTGGTGCGTCTCCGTATATGTACTCCTACAAGTCCAATGCCGCTCAGAGGTTTTAGCTGAGGCTGCTTAGATAATACTAATTCAGATAAGGATATATACCTCTAACGACATCCTCTTATTTAAGATAAGAAATTACAGAGGGGTGGACGCTTTAAAGAGAAGATCCTCAGGGGGTTCTATAGTGGGGTACTTTGGTGTATAAAGCAGACCTGGGTACTGATGCCGTTGACTAAGGTAAGTGATATTTCCTGGGCAGATGCAGCTATTTTTGTTGCATATTTGTTATTTTCTACCTAATGACCACAACCACTCTGAGGAAAGCCCATATTCATAATTTGGTTATGCAATTAACCATGATACCGTCTTGCATAGGTCGTAACAGACGTACATCCAAATGCCAAAGTGCGAATCCTGCACGTACTTCATTTGACACAACGCAGGCAGCCAGCTCAAATTGTTCCATCAAAACTGCTGGCACTCTCATCTTAACGTTTGCGATACAACCAACGCCGAGGAAAGTGGCTGGTGAATCAACTGACCCAGCCCGATTCTAAGATGGCTTCACAGAAGGACCTTCAAGAATTACTGAGGGTCATCACCTCCCGAAAGGGTGTCTCGATGATGGCTGCAATGGGTCAGGTCAAAGCACTCCAGGCTGTGGAGCTTCGGAGGTGTGTTGATGAAGTACGCTATTTCGCTTTTGATTCCACACGTCTCACGAGCTTTCCAATAGTACCCAGCAGATAAGCGACGCCTCGCTCGATTTGATAGAGCGCGGCCTGGGGGACGCAAAGACAGCCAAGGCCCTACAAACAGCATGCAAGACTCACTTGAAACGAGCAAGTACCAAAAGATCCGGGAATCATCTTGCTTCTACAAGTGAGAAGCGTCCCAAGAATTATCACCATAGCGACGAATTCGAAGGCCCGGCCCAACGTGCAGAGGAGGATATAGAGGCTTCCCTTAGTCTTCCCATCGTTGTGAACGAAGAAGAAATTGCCGGGGTTTCTATATACACCAATCGAGCACCATTAATGTTGGCCTTCGTGCTGGAACTTCTCAGATACACAATGCCAGTGCAGCCTCTCTCGAGTCGTCTCAGCCTAGCCCAGGCTGTTGTCAGCGCCAATTCGAAGTCAAAGGCTATCAGCATCGGACTGGCCAAGGCCACCAACGAAGAGAATTCATGGGGCGAAGGGCAGCCAAAGGTCAATATTATGGGAAGGGCTATAGCTGTCCTCAAGAGAGGTGACTACAGCTTACAAGGTAGTGAGTTGGCAGCTCCGGAAGCAGAAAACGCACCAGATGATATTCTACAGGCGCTGAAGCCGCCAACATCGTCAAGGCAATTCCACGGGGGCGTTGCATCCACAGCATCCCCGTGGTCTGTGAGCCGCCAGGTCACTTTCAAGTCGTCCACTTTCGTTGCGCGGGTCGCAAATATAAGTAACAGCACCGAGGCGTCAGGTCTCGTTCGCTCGCTCTTGCTGTCTGAGCCACAATTACAGACAGCCACGCATAACGTCTGGGCCTACCGAGTTAGAAGGCAGGGGCAAGGCGAGCAGGGCGGGCAAGACAAGGGACTGGGAGAGGTATGGGAGGCGAGTGAGGATGATGGTGAAACTGGCTGCGGCGAATTCATCCAACGATTGATCAGAGAGGCCGGCATTACCGATGTCGTCGTAGTGCTGAACAGATGGTTCGGGGGGGAGATGCTAGGTCCAGATCGCTGGAGACTGGTGCGCAACGTCGTCACAGAGGCGCTTTCCCAGAGGCTACGACTGCCACTGAACCACAAGGGATGTGACGATGTAGCTCTCTGGGCACTTGATCTGCAGAATGCGAACGGTGGTTCCGGGCTCCGCAGTGCCAATGAACCAAGCCTTAATGTTGTCGGAGTTTCTATATATCGTCCGGAATCAGCCCGGGCGTACCTGCTCAGAAGTTTCGGAGGTATTCCTGCAGTCGATCATTCCGGCGGGAGCGCTTCGAAAGCCAAGCAAAAGAGGGTCAGCAAGTCCGAGGATGAAGCCGAGAGAATGCGAAATCTAGGATGCCTCCTCGGCGCTCTCAGACTGTTATTCGGTAGCTGGAGCAACCTGGGGCCTCACGAGATGAACCGCAAGGCATTTACCTGGTATGCCTCCGTAAGACCAGATGTGCAGCCAGGAGTCGCAGGATGGGGCGCCAAAGGTGGTCTGAAGCTAGATTCAATTCTCCAGCTACGTCGAGACCATACCGATAGTACGAAAAAATAAATCATCTGACCGCCGTGATGGACAGTCTTGCTAGCATGAGCAGATTTCGGCAATGCAATGCGCTGTCGTCGTCTACCTTACGTTTGCAAGTCCATGTCAGGTAGAGTATCCATGGGCCGTACCATGCTGGATGCCTTGTATCTCGCCCGTGTACTCGCATCTCAGCCGTGACAGCAATTTTCCGCGAAGTGAAAACACAATGCTCTGCGGAAACCCAAGAGCCCCGAGGCGTGGGAGGAAATGGGTGGACAGTATATCATCTATTCCAACCCGGACCCATACGCCGTCCGGCTCGATTGAGCCTTACAGGTATTAGGTGCCCACGTGCCTTAGCACCATCAGTAGGTGCATAGATAGGTCTAGTAGGTAAGTCCCCACCCCAGGATCCGGAACACACCTAATGTGGAACACCTTTTACACCAAAACTCACAAACTTTAAATATTTATTAACAAGAATTTAATTATTATAAAAATATAATAAAAAATTTATATATTTCTAATAAGAAAATATATAATAAATAAGTTATAATCTTAATTTTCTTTTAAAAAAAATTAAATTTATTTACTTTTAAAAAAAAAAATTTATTTTATTTATTATTTTAATAAATGTTAAAATGGTAAATACGTTTACTTTCTTATTTGCCTTATTTAACAATATTATATAAGCAAACTATATATTATATTAATCTATGAAAAATATAGATTAATATAAATATTAATTATATAAACAAAACTGCTTACATAAGCTTACATAGGTGATCGAACGTATTAGAAATCACTAGAACGCTCGGGAGCTTTCTTTTTATAGGATTACGTATTGCGATTACTTAATTACTTATAAATACGCTTTTTAATTTGATCTTTATTAATAAGCTATAGAATATTTTAGTAAGAGGTTTTTATATCTATATAAAGGCGTAGTTTTACCTATTTAGACTTTTCTTTAAATAAGCAACTCCTTATATAGTAATTTAATTATATTACTCTCTTTACTCTTAAAAAACTTTAGTTATTTACGTATTACTACCCTTTTATTTATATATTCTTATTTCTATATAAATATTATATATTTTTATCTTTTTATAAAAATATATTTATTTTTTATCTCTTAAAGCTATTGTGTAAAAATAAATAATAAATAATGTTCTATTTATAAAGAGATTTTAGTTTTCTTAAAATATTTTTATTAAAAAATATTTATTAATAACTTTAAAGTTTATATTAACTTTAAAAATTTTAATATTAAATTTAATAAAGAAAAACTATATTATATTATTATATTATTATACTAAAATTATAATATTAATTTTTTTAAAAGTAAAATTTAAGCTTTTTATATAAATTTATAAATAAAAATAATTATAAAATACTTTATATTTTAATTATTAAGCTTTATTTTAAAAATTATTACTTTTTAAAAAACCTAAATAATTAACTTATTTATAAATTAAAAAGCTTATTATATATATATTTATAAAACTTAATGTATATTTTATTAATAATTTTAAAAAATGTAAGAAGTAAGTTAATAAATATTAAATATTTAATTTTGTTCCGGATGGGGGGGTGTTCCGCATTTAGGGGGGACTTAGCTGGAGTCGCGACAAATTAGCTAGGTCCCCGCAACTACCCGGTCGCAGCGGAGAATTGAACGCTCCGCCTGTGCTTTGCGCACACAGAGGTATCTCATTGACGCAAGATCAACATCACCATACTAAAGGCGTAGATGTAGCATGGCGACGGTTTGAACAGCTGCGCTGTGATCCAGCACGGTCGCAACTGAATCCCAGAAGGACCAATATCCCCCCCCAATGACCCGGACAGCGATTGCAACCCATGCTACATCTTGCATCCGGCGTGAGGGCCCCTCGCCCAGCCGCATGTATTTTTCTAAATATTGCGCAACGGCCTGCTTCGACTCGACCTGGTGGAAATATCGCAAGAGCTTTACGACCGTCAGTCCAAATCATAACTAGTCAGCGGGCATCGCTTACCATCTTGCAGTACAAATCCTATCAAAATCTACACTACACGTCTTGCCGATCAATCCCCCCCGAGGTCCACGGCTCCGACTACCCTCGAAACAGCCGATGCCATCTTCAAGGCCAGGAGGATACCATTGCTCGCCTCCGGAGTGGTAGCTCTGGGGCTGGGTATATATTTCAGCTTTCTGGCGTCCTCGTTATGCTCTTCATCCTGCCATGAAGACCCTGGCCCAGCGCCAGATGCAGTTCCGACAGGGCGGCCAAACGTTTTTACTAAGGATTCGGCTAGGAAATTTGACCAGAGTCTAGATGGCTCCGAATGGTTGTCGGGCATCACTTCTCTACGGCAAAGACTTGCTGCAGAGGCTTCGGGACATGTGCTTGAGGTCGCCATGGGCACCGGCCGTAACCTTTCTTTTTTTGACTGGCGCGATGTTCTCAACCCTCGAACGAACTCGACAGCACCGGCACTTGCAGCGCCAAAAGCCAACGCACTGTCCCCCAAGACCGACGTGGCAACGATGATCTCTTACACCGGAATCGACATCTCCAGTGAAATGCTTGGCGTCGCCGTCGAAAAGCTCGCAGAGGTTGTGCCTGAGCTAGCTCGCCTCGAGCCAAGGAGTGAGAAGCAGACCATATCGTCTCATGCTGAATGCAGTAGTATTTCCTACCTCTCAGGCAGGCTCCGAATGTTTCGGTCAGACATTCACGAATACATTCCCTCACCCCCTCAGCAATCCCCCACGCAGCCTAAATACGACTTTGTCTGCTCCACGTTCTCCCTATGCAGTGTCCGCGACCCAGAACAAATGGTTCGGGATTTGGCCAGCAAAGTGAAGCCGAACACAGGCAAGATCATTCTTGTCGAGCATGGTCGAGGATGGTGGGGGTTTGTCAACGGGTTACTGGACAAGTCTGCGGCTTCCCATTTTCAAAGTAAGTTCGTTTCTTGAATGCGAATTATCAGCGCCGACTAACTCGCCGGCTCCTTAAGAATACGGGTGTTGGTGGAATCGAGACATTGCTGAAATTGTTGAGCACGCCGCAGAGTCTACGCCCGGACTCCAAGTCACGAAAGTTGATCGCCCGTACTTTACACAGCTTGGGACGACTTTGTGGATTGAATTGAAAATTTCGGATTCGGGTGTATCGTAGTTAATACCTGGTCTCTCCCTCTTTCTACTCGAAACGAAAGGCTTACTTTGGCCTTGCCGCATGTCAATGGCGGACTAGAAGTCAGTGTGAACTGTGGAGATTCGGGTGTTGTAGGGAAAGAGGAGGTTTGTTTATTTCATTTCAATCATGCCCGGCCAGATTTTGATACTTGTCCTCCAGGCCAAGAAACCCTAACACCAAGCCCGCATAGACATCTTCAGGACCAGTTGCTGTCACAACTACTTATACACGATAACTCCGCCCATTCCTTGATACTCCGAAGCGAAATCAACTTCACGCTGAACAGTTACCATGTAACCCGGTTCCATTTTTTTCTTCTTCGTCACCATCCAACGACGGACGCTACCTGAGCATCGAATTCCCAAAATAAGGAGCGCAGTTGGTTAAAGTGTCGATAAAGGGGTCGCGCTTAGTACTGGATTTACTGAAGAACCAGTACACCCCCAGCGGACACTCGTTATGATGAGATGGGATGTGGAACAGTTTTCAGCTTCACGATGCACATCACGGCCGTTAACAAGAGTCCAGCAAACAGTCAAGCTCGTCGAGTTCAATGCTTTCGGGGCTATAATCCCACTCTAGAAGGCTCCCCAGCTTGAACCAGCTGTCGCCTTCAGTTTCTTTTTTAGCACTCGTCGGGACGATTGGCTTGATGGCTGGGCTTGTAATGAATTGGTGCATAGACACCAATCCGATGTTGACGGCCACGCTGTTTTTCTCGTCGAACATACCATCATCCCGTGCCGATTCGTAGGCATTGGCAGGCTGTTCGGCATTACCCATCGAAGAGAATTCACGAGCTAGCTTGCGTTTCTGCAGACCGTCGGCCGTTTGAGTAAACTCTCGTTCATCCTTCTCCAAGGGCGGAGAGGCGCTCCGTTGGCTTCTCGAGTACCGTAGACTATTCGGTAGTGATCCAACGGGTGTAGTGGGCATGGCAAAGTCTTCGTCACCGTCATCGAATTCGGGAGAGGAAAGATCGACCTCGGGGGACGGACTTAAATCCCTCCGGCGGAGGTCGATGTCGTCTACATCGTCAGATCCAGATGCAATACTAGATAGAGATGGAGAAATGACGGCGCGCTGAGCGAAGGCTGGCGAGTCTGGGAAGGGCTGTCTTGGACGAGTTGTGAGGTAGAAATAGGTCCGCCGCGGGTGTATCTTTTCGAGCTCCTTGGCCATCGGGCAGGGTGTCCGCGCGCTCCAACAAGAGCGCTTCAGGTAAGCGGAGAGGCGGGAGGAAACAATGGCGCAGGGGTTTGCGGAGCTACGGGTGTGTTAGAAAGTCGGGAACTCCTGAGACTGGGAAGCAAGGCCTTACTTCTTGACGATGGGAATCTGCTGCGACAATGCAGTGGCCAGCTCTCGCACCAGATGAGGGCGATTACAGGTGACTTGCAGTTGGGCAATGGTAGCTTCTACAATCTCGTCGTTAATCCCCTCGAGATTCATGTGGGAAACAGATCTAGCGTCGCTGTTTGCTTCCTGCATCTCGACATTGTATGATATCGGAGACGGCGGTGGCGTGTGATCGAAATTGGCGGCGTTCCCGGGTCGTTTTTGTGACATTTGTACATGTCTTGGGTCATCCCCATGTGAACGCTTTTGTCTCTTATTCGGGCGCGGCACTGTTGTCGATGTAATTGTTATGCGATTGCCTACGTTCTCAGAAATGTTTCGACTCGGGGCGGCTGTGGCCGGACTGCGACTTGGGTGGCTCCCTGGAACGTGAATGCCCAGGGATGGCAGAGACAAAGATTTGCGGCGAGTATTATACGGCATCTTGAAGAATTTCCGGAGATAGGATGTACGTATGTTTATTAATGGGATGGAGTTGTCGACGAGATTATCCAGGAGGGATGAAGGGTCACGATGGGTGACGGGAGAGAAGGGACAATGATAATTTGGTTTTGGAAGGGGGGGGGGGGGGGGGGGTGGAGGGGGGGGGGGTGCGCGGGGGGGGGGGGGGGGGGGGGGGGGGGGGGGGGGGGGGGGGGGGGAGGAGGGGGGGGGGGGGGGGTGGGGGGGGGGGGGGGGGGGGGGGGGGGGGTTGATGAATGATGGGACTTGCACGCTTGGCAACAAGATAATACCTACAGGGACGAAGAAGAGCTCGCACCCTTTTTTTTTTCTCATCCTTTTTTTCGTTGCTTGATCCACTCTCCATGGTAGCCCCCTGGTCACATACGCAAGGGGTACGATGAGGTGGAAGGCGGCAATACTCCACCCTAGGTATTGTGCCGAAGCAGCTAAGGTATCCGGGCGTACGGAATGGAATCCTGGGTTCGAAAAGATTTTAAAGCGGGGGTGTATACACGTGCTGACGTTACCAGGGAACTAAGTACGTATCCGTACATAAAAGAGAAATATTTTTAAAAAAAGAAATAAAAGTAAGATACTTATAATAAAAATAGAGAACTAAGCTTATTTATTAAAACAAAGTTTAGTAACTAAAAAATATAATAAATTAAAAATATAAAATTATAATTTTTGTAATATAAATAATATATTTTATTAATTAAGTATATATTTATTTTACAATATTTTTTATTTTTAATTATTGAAACTTTTTATTTATAATAATTTAATAAAAATAATAAAAGCTTATATTTAAGAAAATATAATAAATAAGTTAACTAAATATAAAAATATTACGACTTAATATATATAAAAAACTAAAGACTTACCCCGCTATTTTACGGCGGCTATTTTACTATATATATAATTAAAATAAAAATATATATATTATTTTTATAAATAAATTAATATAAAAGTATATAAAATTAATATAAAAGTATATAGAATTAATATAAAAGTATATATTTTATAGCGGTTTATACATCTATTATCGTAATTAATTTAAATTTTTATTATTAATATATTTAAATTCTACCGTTTTTTTTAATATATTCTTTTTATTTTAAATTATTTTTATTATTATAGTTTTATATTTAATATTAATATATATTGTTTTTAATAATTAAATCCCGGCGTAATTAACGTCGCTAAGTTATGAAATATAGCTTTAATAACGTAATGTATTTTTGAAACGTTATTATATTAATATATGTTATAAAAAGTCTAGCGTATAGTGTTACGACTTAATATATATACTAAACTAAGGACCTACCCCGCTACTCTATAACGGCTATCTCGCTATATATATAATTAAATAATAAGAATATATATATTACTTTAATAGATTAAAAAAACTATAAAAAAGTTATATAATAATAAAAAAAACTAATAAATAATAAACGGTTTTTAAATATAAATTAATAAAATAAAAATCGGTTTATTTTTAAAAAACTAATTTTATAATATCGGTCTTGAATATAAAAAAAGTATTTAAATAATATATAAAATTTATATATAATATAAATTAAAGTTAAGCTTAAGTTTAGATTTTTAGAGCTTTTTTAATAATTAATTTTATATTAACGTACTTATATAGCGAGCGGGCTATTATAGCGAGCGGGCCACTTCTATTACTATCTATACTTTTTCCTTTTATAATAATTTTCCTTTATATATAATAATAATTTTTTTTAAAAAAAAACCGTATTATTTTTATATTTTAAATTATTAAAAAAAACCTAAAACTATTTATACAAAAAGCTATTATTATTTATAATATTTTAAAAATAATATTTTAATACCGATATATTGGTTAATTATTATAATAAAAAACGTATATAAATTTAATAAGGAATTGATATACGGGCATAAACAATTAATACACGGGCATGACTCTTATACGGGCATAACAGCTATATACTATTATTAGCCTAAAAAAGCTATTACCTTATCTTAATTCTACCGGTCTTATTTAAAATATTTAGGAATTTTTTTAATATATAATCGTAACGCGTCGTTTATATTAATTAATTAAGGCTTTATTATTATATTATTTATATTAAAATCCCTTATACCCGAGTCTGCCTTTTTATTATTAAAATATAACTCGTTATATTAAATTTAAAACTCAAATTTAAATAATAGATTTAATTTAAAACAATAACGTAATAAGTATTTTTTTATTTTACGACTTTTTATTATTAATAGTTTAGATATAAATATTAATAATTATTATAATTTTAATAACAATAATATATTTAAAAGTAGTTTTATTTTTTATTTAGATTAGTTTTATTAAATTATTTAATTTTATAATTTATATAAGAACGACGTAATATTTATTAAAATATAAAATAATTATAAGAAAAAATTTTATAAAATATTTCCGACGATAATTATTTAAACTTATTAAGTTATTATATTAATATTTAATTTAAAATATAGTTTATTTTTATTGTATTTTATTTTCGAATTTATTTTATAAAACGAGGAATATCGATTTATATAAATTATTTTTATAAAAAATTTTAAATTTATATTACGTTTAGTTTAAAAAATAATAAAAGAAAAGTAATAGTTAATTAAAAAACTTTTTAATTTTTTAAATAAGTTTAATAATAATAATAGAAATAAGGTTATTTATTATATTTATTTAATACGTTTATTTTACTATTTTTACTTTTATATTTTTTTTTATTTAAAGTATCCTTTTATTAATTTTTAAATAAATTTACAATTTTATTATTATAAAGTTTTTATTCTTTAAATTAACGTTCGTTTTTATTTTTATTTAATTTAATCTTAAATTTATAAATTCTTAATAATTTAAAACTTATAATCGACGTTTTATTTAACTAAATTAATATATTTATTAAAAAAACGGGTTTAATATTATTTATTAATATAAATATATATATAAAAATAAAAAGATAAAATATATATTTTAATAAAATCGTTTTAATAAACTACGGTTTATTAAAAGTATAGGGTTATATTAACGAAAATCGTAAAAATATAATTATAAATAAATAATTATTATTAAAATAAAAAAAAAGAGCGCTTAATTTTTATAACGGTATATTAAAACCGAATATATTTAATATAATTACGGGCTAAGCCTTAGTTTTTTAATATATCCTTTATATTAAAAACTTATATTATTAATTAAAAACGTTATTAAAACTATTAGCCGCTGGGTTAATATTAAAGCCCGCGATATTTATATTATTATTTAAAAATAATTTTTAAATTTTATATTTATTTAATAGGATATTTATAATATTAAAGCTTTTATAAATAAAAAGAAATTAAACGGTTATTTATTAATAACCGTTTTAATAAAGCTTTTTAATAAGCAAAAGGTGCTTTATATTATAAAATAAATTAATAACGAGCCTAACCGGTTTATTAATTTAATATAAATATTTTTATTTTATTTTTTAATATAAAAGCGTTTCTTAAAGGTAATTAGTTTTAATAATATATATAATACGAACCGTTTTAAGTTTTTGTTATTTTAAACTATTAATTAAATATATATTAAATCTATTTTTAATATAATATTCGGCCTTATTAATAATAAAAGGTTAAAAAGGTTTTAATTTTTTATAGAAAATATTTGTTAATTAATTAATTAATATTCGATTCGCTTATTAAATATTATTATTATTAATTATAATAAATAAATAAAAGCCGCCTTAACTTATAAGTTTATTAATATATAATAATAGCTCTATATTTATTATATTATTTTTAATATTATATTTAAAACTAAATAAAAATAAATAAAAAAAAATAGTTAAAAAGTATTAATAATAACTTAGATTATAAAAACGATATTAAGTTTTTAAAAATATTAATAATAAAATTAAATAACGAGGACTAAATATATATTTATATACTTATTAATAATTTAATTTTTTATATATATTATAAAGTTTTTATAATATAAAAACTCGTTATTTTTATTAAGACCGAGGTTATTTTTAAAAAAATATAAAATAGTTTTTATAAAAAGTTTAATAATTAATAGTTAATATTATATTATTTTTATAAAATATACCTTTTTATTAAAACTTAATAAGCTTATTATTATATTTAAAAATATTAAAATTTTAATATTTATATTATTTTAAAAACCGAGTTTAGTAATAATAATATTAAAAATTATTTTTTTAATAGTTTAAGTTATTTATATCGACTTATTAATATTATATAAAATATAATTTAAGATTAAGAGTTACGGTTTATATAGTTTTATATAAAAAATAAAGTATTAGCTACTTATTAATATATTAAAATTAATTCGGAATATTTAAATAAATTTTAAAATATATTTTTTTTAAAGTATTTAAAGTTAATTATAAAGTAATATTAAATAATAAAGATAATATTATTAATTAGTAATTATCTACGGCCTTTTTTATTAAAAATTTTATAAACGACTATTTTATTTTAATATAGCTAAATATTTTTTATTATTATATTGTTACGACCCAATACGCATTGCCAGACCAGGGCCCTGCCCTACAGGACCTACGGCGGCTACTATACTATATATATAATAGTGAGAACCTAGACGGCCCCCCTCGGGACAAAAGAACTATAAATAAATTATATAACTATAATCGCACGATAAAATAAAAAACAAATATCCATAAATAAATAAAACGGACGATTATAAAAATATAAAATAAACGACCGTTCGGTAA